GTTCATATACCATGGCTTCGGACCGCGCACACAGTATTTTAGCACAAGGAATCTCTTAGTCTGAGTCCCTACTGGACCCTTGCTCTTCTTTTCCACCCCAGAAAGAATTATCATCTTTGTCAGAGAAAATCAAAGATTGTACACAAGTAGGAAATAGCATCAGAAGAGAGATAGTGGGAAGGCAGTTCATAATAGCGGCTTGCTAAGGTTAGCAAGTTACAAATAAGATAAGAAGATTATAAGTGTCAAAGCCATTCATTCAGATATATATTTGAATCTTTCATCATTCTACTTAATTTGCTTTCCACCATCCATCAGTTTCGTTAAAAAGGATACGTCCAGTCAGTACAGTCATGGTTAGGACCCGCACTCCACAAGAGAGCTATAGTACTAACCTCCCAAAGCCCTCTCTGATTCCTCGGCTTATCTTGACCCCTCCAGCAAAACTTACCTTAGAGGTACTGGTTTATTCCAGAATTAGGTCTTCATATTTCTAGACGTAGGATCCCCCAGAAAACCTTAGCCAGGATGCTAGACTGTTATTGGACAAGTACAGGGCTTCGAAATACGTGAGACCGTCTGAACCTTTCAACAAATACGTTATCGCCCTGGTGGAGGAGGTATTATCCCATTGGAGCTATGATACTGTTCTCAAGTTAACTCTGACAACTTAGCATTTTGACGGTCATTTTGAAAAACCGCCTGCTTCAGCCTCGGATAATTTAAGCTCCTTCCTGAGTAAGCCCGATGAAGCCGTGATTGAGATACTACAAGACCGATATAGAAGGATAATAGACCAGGGCGCTGGGTTGAACGATTCCTTCGACTTTTTGCTGGTCTTAAACTAATCCGGAATAAGGGGCTAGGGTTGAGCTATATCTAGACAAGTCTTATATATACAGGGGTGTTGTACTAGACCCAATACTATATAGCATAACATCGAACTCCATCCTATTCATTCAATTCGGATTACCAATCATCTCCTACGGGACTCATCAATGCTCCAGTACTTACCACTTACTTATCGTATAGCCTTCCGGAGAAAAGCAATAAGGCAATTAGGGCTTAGAGAAGTCTCAGCTAACGAAGGACGGATGCGGGGATAGATGGCCTAGAGTTACAAACCCTCTGTAGTTAGCATGATGAATCTAATTTGAGAGGCTCAGAAGCCACTGACTTAGTATCGACGTGTAGGGGAGACGATCTGGCTCCTTGAATAGTTAAGAGCAGTTCTGGCTTTACGATTTAACGTAGCTACGTCTGATTGTCGACGCTATAATTAAAAGTTAATTTCGGCGTTAACAGGGGCAAGGCCTACTAGGCCCTGGCCCTGCAGACACCAAGATAAGGCGATGAAAAGCACGAAAATAGGAGCGCGGTTAATCGCGCAAGGAAAAGTTGGCTTGAGGTAATAAGAGGATCCGTCTCATAGGTAGAAGTATATTTATTTAAGAGAAGAATGTTTGAATATGCTCCTCGTTCTAAGTAAGTCCGATGGTTAAATAACAATCTCCTACCTATTTAGAGTCTGACCGCGTAATCGGGTCGAGCTATCGAGTTACCTAGCAAGAGTAACGATCAGCACCTCTAGACACCGTACTAAGTAACCAAATAGGGAAGGAAAGACATCAGGAAAGTGAAGCTCAGACGTGCGAAATAAGGAGACTGATTGGTAAAGAAGTGCGCAATACCAAATTTCAGCGGATTCCCTTAGCCCTCCTACATATTACCGCTAGTTTTTCCCACCATAGTAGCGCAGACCTAGCGTCAGGATCGACAATAACCAGAGGAAAAGACGTATGGTGGGGTTTAGGGCTATAGAACTCTTGACAGGGGTAGGGCCGAGCAGGCCCTACCCCTATCTACCCAATTGTTATCGTATTCCAACCTTCCCCGCTTCTCTCTTGACTATCTTTTCCCTCAGACTACCTTCCTCCATCGTCTATCCAGATAATAGATCCGCACTCCCACTACGTCTCCAACTTAGAGGGACATATCCGTAGCCTTCACCTAATCTTAAAGGAATAGGCAGTTTGTATGCCACAGGATATTATTCTGAAATCCCAGGTTTCATTAGGGAACAACCTCCTAGCCTGCCAGCCTAAATCTTCACAATCTCTGAACAGTCAACATAAAAAGCCTTTGCTTCCAAGTCCAGCCAAACCCGAGGAATCATAGAGGAAGCAGGTAATTTCTTTTGTCAAAAAGATACCTACCGCTAAGAATTAGTCCAAAGCCATATCTACCACATCTCCCGATACCGATTCATACTCTTCTCTCTTCATTTTGGACTTATTATTAAAAGAGCCCGCTCCCATCGGACGAGGTCATACTACAATACCAGTTATCCAACATCCGAAGTCAAACATACTCCATACCTTGGAATATTATACTTCATTCACGAAAAGATATTAGTATAACGCAAAGCTAGCGAAACTCATCGCTTCCTATCAGAAGTTTCTGTTCGGCGTACTTTGTCATATTACATATTGTATCGGTATCGACGAAAAGGTAGTAGACAAGACGATAGGATTAATTTCAAGCGGTAGTATTAAACACCTTCGGCAAATACGACTTACAGCGGCTTAGGGGGTCGCGGCGGTTGACGGGCTTCAATACAAGAGCAAATAGGGCATCAGAAGTGGCGATATTCTCTTTTACTATCGGTCTCAGTTCTTTTTCATTCCTCCGTATAAAGCTAACCATAGAATCTAGTTACTCCGTCATTCTCTTCGTTAAAAAACATAGCCAAAGGGAAGCGGGCAAAAGACGTCTTCACCTCCTCTCTGGATCAACCTCGATACACAGAGATAGGTACTAAGCTACCGAAGCTTCACACTAATAATCTCTCGGTTCCTTGCATAATCAAGTGCATTTTTAGTAAAACCGTTCGGTATACGCATGAAACGTGAATATATCACCATATACTAAAACTTGAATCAGACTTTCCGACATATACAAATTTTTACATGCTGATTTTGATGCCGCCCGATGTGTATTCACTAAGTGGTACATAGAACTATTTGGTTCTAATGTTTTCGATGATTTAGAACGCTCGAGTCTTTTTCTCTCCTATGATACCTCAATCTCCAAGAATCCAGTGGGAAGTTCCAGAGGGTGGAATGATCCCTGTGGAGGATATACGGAAGAGACGACGTACTAATAATGGAACCGGCTCACCGGCGAAAGAGACAACACTGTCGGATTTAGATAACCAGTCTATAACCAATACGCCAGGCAGGACGATTTCTACAGATGCTCATACGAGTGTCAACGAGGAACGTACGAGTATTCGGCCAAATCCACCTAGTGAGCTTCCCACCCTATGATTATTCAACGTGATACTGACTCTCTTTCCTATGGAATAGATGTTCCGTACGTTGGTGCAACCCTTGGAGATGTTTCGCAGCAGCCAACACAGGAGCATCCGGTCCTCTCTGGGAATACAGATCTACCCTTGATGGATGAGCGGCAACCAGGATGGGCTTTGCCTCAGGTGCAGCATTACTCAAGTAAGTCGCAGGTTGGCAGATAGGTGGAACAACAGCTTAAGTCCGTTCAGGTCAAGTTCCTCTGCATTTAGCTCGCTCGCCAGATACTGCGGATGTACAGGCACATTCATATTCAGTTCCGTCCTTCAGTGCGATATCTGAGATCCCGTTCTTGCCAAATCCCGCCTTCCCAGCTCACCTCCCCTCACCACTTCCGTCTAGTTCGCTTGACTATTTCATTCCATCATTTTCTCAAATAACTGGCATTCCTTCTCCTGTATGATATTCGACCTCATGCCAGAATATCAGATTGTTTCCCTGCTCCAAGTAACCACGCAGACACAAGAGTTCAAAATCTCTATCAACCCACTCCATTCTACCGAGTCGCCCTTCGCGAGGGATATTCTTGCATCATGGTTGACAAGGGACACAATCGCGTTGTCTTCGTAAAGGAGGATTGCTGTTAAAGTGCCATAGGGTTCTCGTGGGGATGCTCCGTTCGAAAATTTGATCAAGCTGGTCTTCATATTCTGCCTAGATGTTAACTAAAGCGGTAAGAATGAAGATTCACGCATTTCTGATACCTCCTTTTGAAAAGGTCGAAGGAGGTCCAACGGAACATTTCGACACAATCTCATATGTGGTGCATCCTCTGCTGCTGAAAATTCTGCTTTTGGCAGCCAGTCGCTCAGGAGATCGCAAGAATCCTGATTAGGCTTCTTCGTTGTCGGTCGGAGGTAGGCCATGGGTCCATTCAATAAATAGCCGCTAGCACTGATCTTAAGTGCACATGGACTGTATCGATCGTTTTGGTTCCTGCTTCAAGATATTCAAAACGGTTCCACGTTCTGCGATCGGCCAGAGGGCGGGGTTGGGCAGAATGTACCAGATAGTGCACGTGAACTATGGCTAACCCCACTATGGCACCTTCTCCACTAACGTTTGTTATTTGATATTCCGACAATCGTGTTTTTGGAGAATCTACTTCATAAATGTCCTCTTTGATCCTGCTTTGATTTTCCGCCGATTCTAAGGAGAATAGCGAGTCTGCTCAGTCAGTCATCAAACTTAAGAATTTAGTATCATTGTGAAGAATGCTCTGTCAGCATCGCAGGAAACAGCAGGCGGTTGATGGTCAAACTCACCGCCTTTCCCGCTCTCCCTATTCTCCTCCTGTTCCTGAATACAAATCTGGTGGATGTCTGTACACCCAAGTGGGAAGGGTGAGACAGGAAGGACGAAAAAACTAGAGTCATGTCACGCAACTTGCAGGGTTATATCCGCTAATTGTCTGATTATGGATTTCTGACTTGCAACTTTCGCCAGTTTATCTGTTGAACCCTCAATTCACAAAGCAAGCTCCAATATATCATAGCCGAGTATGATAGTTACAAAGAGCGAACCGACGTCCCAGCTCAGCTTCCTTGAGCGAGGGGTCCTCCCAACTGAGACACAGGGCCGGAACCAAAAAATCTCTGCTTTAAATTGAGACCAGAAAGTCAGAAAGAATTACTCGCCTGGCAGATCAAAGGGCCAGATATCTCGCAGGTTCTTTTCATCTCTGATTGGCTCGTCGTCATCCGGATCTTTGTTTTCCAGTATGGCTTGCAACATCCCCTTGAACATTGCCTTGTTTTCTGTTTTTGCCGCTTCCCAGTTGTCCGGAGGGACCCATCCATCAGACGCACAGTCAAGGAGGCTCGACAAATCATGTTTGAGGTTCTGTGCCGCCTCAAAAAATTTGTATTCCTTGCGATGAAGAGCCAACTCTTCTGGTGTTGGTAAGGCAAATGGACACGGCCCGCCAAACCCAAGCGCTCTCCAGTCCTTGGAGGTTTCAATGAGCTCGTGTCGAAAAGCAACGACGCCATCTTTCCATGTTCTGTAGCAGTACCAAAAAGGCCGAAACATCCCTTCGTCCATCAACCTAGGGAGAGCAAGCTTTGGAACGAGAAATTGAGTACAAGCTTCATAGGCCTTTTTGCACAGCTCGCCGTCATGCACCCTTAGCGCGGACGATGTGGAAGGTGCACAAGTGGCGAAGTCTGGAACCTCATCTGCGTACCAGAACGCCGGCTCTATGGAGGATGATTGCCAATCAATAATAGCCGTAATTATCGAAGGATCATTATCCGAAACGAATATGTTCCTTTTATGTAGGTCGGGATGAAATAAGGTCGGTGAAGCCGCGTCTTGAACGCGACTATCAGCGGACATTGCGTGTAGCACTGCGCGACCCTGTTTGAGAAGGTCTAAATGCGTCTGTACTGAGCCGTGATAGGGCGGCCGATTTGGGAGTTGAGAATCTCTCGGTGGAATCCTTGAAAGGCCGGCATCAACGAGGCCATCGGAAAATGCACCTATCGTCAGCCCTGTATCCCCAAGTCTTAGCTTTTATCTCTCAATAATAGTCAGAAAGGACTTACAGGGACCATGGTTAGGAACTGTATGTTGGTAGTACCTATGGTCGCCACAACTCCAGTATCTTGTTCCACAGTGAGGCCCCACGCAGAAGCCCTCATCTAGCGGTAGCCTAGACGCAGGTTCCAATGGTGCGGTTGAAAAATATAAGCTTCCATATGCCGGAAAGTTGACGTCGGCCATCTCCCCGAGCTTTCTGTAGATGGCGTCTATGCACCTAACTTTCTGATCACCCGACATATAGGGCCATTTCTGATGTAACTGAATGCCAGCCGCATGATTCATGATTATGTATTCGCTTCCAATACTGTTTGCCGCATCGTCGCTCCAGTCAAGAATTTTCGGGATCGGAATGCTCGTTTTCCTTTGCACTGTATTGCATATATCATTAGCGAGAGTTAAATATTCACCCCGGATTGTCATTCCACACACAATATTGAATCGTCGCCACTTCGGAAGCCGTGGCTAATTTTGCGGGCCCAGCTAATGGAAATGGCAGTCGCGCCACGACACGCGAGTTGTCGTCCATTGTGAAAATGAACACCCTGTTGAAACCGCCCTCCTTTTTTTCACAATCTTTGATGGATTTTTCCCCGTTGAATAAATCCACTATCTTCTGGCAGAGTTTATGAAAGTTCACGTTGATCTGGCGTAACTGGCGTTGACATTTGTCGTTCCGGAGCCATCGACCGCTTGTATATACGTGAGGATCAAACCCTAGAAGTCCATTGTTACCAATGCATGGCACATTATCATTAATCGGTCTTACCATATCTCGTTGTCTGGTCCATTGCATGCCTCGAGAACGGCTGCTGGCGATGGAGCTTCGAAAAGGAGGGTCTGGAAGTAACGCCACGAACGAGGAAGGGTCCGATGTAAAGAGACTGCGGAGAGTAATAAGTCAAGGGAAAAGGTACTGGCAACATTTGGAGAACCTTTGAGCGGCTCATTGTGTGCGAGAGCGAGGTATCAATGGCCTCCCCTTATATTTCCTTACAACGCGAGAGGTTGGCTTGAAAGTTTGCCAAGACTGGACCAAGGCACGTTACGTCATCCACCAGCGGACAAATACTAGGACAACAATTTATCCATAAATAGAATTACCAGACACACGAAGGTCAATACAGAAGCGAATTTCAAGCCCCTGTGTGGCCACTCTACCTGCTCACTAACTTCAAAGCAATTCGCCGTCCCCGGTTTGACAGTTGGTTTCTAGCCCGTTTATCCAAGCTTCTGTTTACCAATTCGAACTAACTCGTTCACCACCCGAGCATATTCCGCATTCTTGTCCTCGGCTGTCGTATCAAAAGTAGCCGTCGCAAGTTTTTCATGAGTTGTATTTTTTTTTACCCAATCTTTCAGCGCAGGGCTCTTGGCTTGGGAATTGACCTGCAAGTTGACATGGAGATGCTTCGTGCTGCCGTCGTAGTGGCCCGCATCGATCCGGAATTGGAACTGCTCGTCCTTGGTTCTTGACGGGATGAGGCGGCTGCCTTCAGCCGCAGCGCCTGAAAATTTGGCTGGCCCATTTTTAATACTTTGCGCTAGTTGAGCAAAGTTTGACAAGGCCTTGGACATTGCGTAATATATGCAACAAGTAACTAGTTGATCGCGAGTGTCTAGTTTGTCAGCGCTGTCTTGACCTATAAAGGGTTTAGGTGACATACGAAGGTGAGAAAGTTGAACCTCTGGTATCAGGTATCAAGAGGATTGATTCTGTTGAGGATGACGGAATGGATAGACTGATATTTATGTACCGTGGCTTCCTGTCGGTTTGTAAGCCGAGACTGTAAATGCTTCATCATTGAAGTAAATATCCACGTGTATGCTGTGACCACTTGAATGGGTCAGCGGCAAAAGGACTGGCGCTTACAAACACTTTATCATTGGCCATAACTAGGCCCGACAATAATCGAATTTATGAGTCCTACGCGCCCGCCCTCTGCGTGTCACAAATAAATGAAAGCTTCAGTCAGCACACTTACAAGCCTATGATTTGGTGCTTTGAATTGGGTGATTGGGAATACCCTTCTATAGTTCGAGGGTTGCTCATCACATACGAATGCAAGCGCCGGCGCTCACAGATTTCACATTAATTATCCTGAATAAGTTATTTTTACCAATTCAAATTTCAGATACTACCTATTGCGATTTGAAAGACAACAAGATTGGCTGGGATCAGACCAACCATGGATCGTCAAACAACTCTCCGAGGCCACGCGACCAAGTGCGAGCAAGAGCTTCCCCTTCTAAGCAGCCGCCGCTTTGATGAGAGCGCTTAGAATCGGACTTAGCGAGCTTCTCGAGGACATAGAGTACTTTTCCACCCGTAACTGGGTACGTACGCAGCTTGGTGTGTCAAAAATAAGTAGCTCAAGCGGGCAACCCTGTCAGCTGAGGTTGTTTACTTGGCCTTAGCGGATTCAAGGAAGTGAAATGGGGCTAGAAGGCCGGATTAGGATAAATTCTACAGTAGACTTGACTGTTATTAACAGGAAACACGCTCAAGACCATCGTGGCATTCTCATGTGGTTGAGGACTGAGACTGAAGCCATTTCGATAGGTAACCCAGGATATGAGATGGAAGATACTAAAAGCACTCTTGAAATGGCTGGTGTGTTAAGTCCTGAGACTAAAGGGCCTCTTATATTTTCAAAATGGGAACCCCCGCCCGCCACAAATAGCTTTGCCAGCCAGTCATGTAGTCACGTCTTTGTAGACAGGGTTCCTCTGCAGCACCCGTGATTGACAGAAGGTAGGCATATCTGTGACAAGACGAATATGCTCAAGCCGTGAAAGTGACCGCCATGCATTAGCGAATGAGCGGCTCACAACCAGTACTTTCTTAGCGCCTGGCCCCCAGTATAGACCAGCCTAAGTCGATAGAAGAGCAGACCCAGTTGCGGCTCTACGCGCCGTTCGCATCTTTTCTGACGTGGCTGAAGGATGAATTTGAGGGGTACTTCCAGCATCCTTGAGATTAGTGGACCAAGGTTGCATGAGGCGGGCATGGCCTTTTCGCTCAGGCAAGAAATTGGGTGACCGCCCCGCCTTTTTCGGATTTCAGGATGTCTAGGCTGACATGGTACAGGGTAAGGACTAATTAACGAGCGCGGCTTTACATGCAACACTTTGTCCTGAGCGTGGTAGGGGCTGCGTGTACTACCATTCCGTAGGGGGGCAGCCTGTAACCCACTCGATTAGGGAGGGTAACTATAAGGCAGCCTTTCGACTAATTTTCGACTAATTTTCGATTGATTTTTGTCTTTGAAAGTTCGAGTTTTCTACTTCGATTTGTGGTATTCAGGCTATTTCATCGACGTTATCTTAGTTCCTTTTCAATAAAATCTTCACTTTAATGTTCTAAAGCATGACTCGGTCGCTTACTAGTGCTTTAGAGAAGCTTGTCTAGACTTCGAGAGATGTTGAGCGTCGGAATGGTGTGAAAGAAAAAGAAAAGAAAAGAATACTGGCGGCGGCCACCTTACTAAGGAATGGACACCCGCCCTAGGACTCCAGAGGAGCCGGGCGACAGTCGACTTATCTCGACTTCCTTCGCAAAGTTCTACAGCTGAACGGCTAGTCGATGGTCGTTCTTTGTGCTATTGGGTTGGGGCTGTCGGTAATAGCCATCGCAAAGGAGAGTATACGACTTAATCTTCTATATGAGATCCAAAATCACTCTGGCCTAGACAACCCGGTGCTACGACGGCTTGTATGTTATTATTTCAGTTTGGGTGTCTACTCAGACGGTTCCCGCCCTCCCTTACCAGCCGATGATGGAATAGTTGACTAAGGCTCCGTGTCTTATGACCCTTCCGAGCGTCACGAACAGGTTCAAGGGAGCTACGAAATCGTTGAACGGAACCCTAGTACGACCCCTAAATCCTATGGGTCATGCAGTAGGCTAACATGGTGAAGGACTACCTCCAGTAGTCGTATCGCTAGATTTGTCTCCTTTTTAGCCCGAGAAGCATTAAGATATAGGTATGGCCTTAGCCCAAAAGTGGATGTTAACTTGCTAACTTGATGTGAAGTCCCTCTGACCGGAGATGTTTACGAGCTCAACTTGCAAGATATTCGAGATATCATAGAATCAGGTTAGATATCTGGCGTAATGTGGCTCACAGACACGTATGGAGTGAATATAACATCTTTTGTTATAATTCTAGTTAGTAACGAGCTGACGGATTAATTGATCTTATACCGTCCCTTGGTAATATGGGACTAACCGCCAAATTAATCTCTATCCTTCGCTGTTATATATCTAACTTTAACGACGCCCGATGCTCTAAAGCGCCAAGTGTCTCGCTATGGTATGATGACCCGGAAGCCTTCCTCCTCTGTTCCAACTCCGTCGATATATTCCCTGCTTTCTCTCTCGAAAATCCGTATTGCGCCTCTGTTCTGAATAAGATCCACGATAACGGTAACCGTTCTCGATGGAGGGGTAGTCTGAACACCTTTTGATGGTGTTGTCTAGTTTATTCGATCGTATAAGTCATATTGTACCTGGGATAATTAGTACTTTTCTTACAGGTGATTATTTAATAGATTATTCTTACTTCTTTCTTGTATTCTTCAAGAACGCTGCTGTCTGTTGAGCTTTCGGTGCGAACTTTTTTGGCTACCTTATCCATGGTATCCGTCTCTCTGCGCGCTTTTCTGGTAGAGCACACAAACTTGCCTAGAAGATATAAAAGGTTTCGAGGGTTAGATCCCATCACAAGTACACAAAGCGAGGAAACACGTATTACTTACCTCGCCGGTTAATCCGATGAGAAATTAAGGATCATCACCAACGACTTTGATTTCGAGGTATTTCCTTAAGTGACGATAATTTTAAGTCGGGGATGATGACCATACTTATTTGGGCCTGTACCACCTTCGAGTCAGGCAGCAGTTGCTGTAAATCGCTGGTAAATGGGTGAGCGGGTAGATGAGGGGCAGGAAGAAAGTCCACGCTTCAATCATCACGTGATAGCATATTTTGGCCCGAAGGGAGTTGGCTGCTGGTCTTCCCCATCCAAGCAGACCTTGATAAGTAAAGATGTGAATGACCGTGATAACCTAAAAATTTCGCCTATATTCAAGCTCAATATAATAAAAATAATAACGGTTGAACACTTAGGCTAATTTCCCTACCTACCTGTATTACTCGATTACTCTACCTAAGTCTAAATAATCTAGTAAGGGATAATTATCGGTGGAGGTTCGTTCGACCGCGTAAATTCATCGAAATTTCATCGAAAAATTGACGAGAATTCGATAATGTTTCGCAGCTCTTTCCTTGGGATACCACAATTTGCAAGGCAAAGTCCGAGGCTGGACTATCCCTAAATTGCCTGCGGATAATAGATGGCTTAATACGTCTTAGACGGTAAAGATAGGCTTGCTCCTTAAGAGCAGAGGTTAATCCTTCTGGACCGTGTATTCAAACCCATCTCGTCTGTACATCTGTAGCGTACTTTTGTTTCTAGCATGGACTAGGGGGTTAAGGATTGGCGACGAAGTTATAAATGGGAGCAACCTCTCTAGTTCTTGGAATTCTTTAATCGTACTTATATTAGGTATTTGACCTTGCTGATTCAACCTTTCTTCTCTATTGTACCCAGAATTCCATCGACTGGATCAAGTAACATAGCACCTATTCAGAGTAGCCCATATTCGCCTTCTGTCGAACACAGCATGGTATTGGAGACTTCCTCTGCCTGTTACTAAGGCCTGACGCCCCCGGACAGCCCGACGAAGGGGATAACTACCTCTTAAGCTATCGTGAAGGATCTCAAGCATCTGTTTGGTGTGTTTCTCGAGAAGACGCTGCTCGATCTTACAAGCAAAGAACCTCCAAACACTCCTGTCTCCTAGGGCCAGTTCCTACCCGGCCCCGACATGGTTCGACTGAAGTAGTTGCTGGTCAAGCTCACCCGCGATGAATGTGCTTCAGCAGAACTGTTTGTAGCAACTAAGCCTACCCGGTCTTGTCTAGTAAGTAATAAACAGGGGGAGGGCGTTTAGGTAGCAGATGCAATTGATCTCGATAGTCTAATCTGTACTACCCCGGATGATTTTAAGTCGTTTGAAAAGTGGGCCTCGATACCCTAATTTAAGACCGTCGTGGAAGCGTATGAGCTACCAACTCTCCTTCTCATACCTTTTAGAAACTGGCTGATATGGGTGTAGTTGGGACAAAGAAGCATGCAAATACAAGATAGCAGAGTAGGTCGAGACCTATAGTGGTCTGGACGACTATGCTGGATATGTATTTATTGTCCGTGAATGTGTTAGTACGTAGTGTCTTTGTGCAAGCGACCGAATCAATACTAATCATATGATTAGATCGGAATTCCGAGGAGGAGACGCCCTATATAGATATTAAATCGGAAGGCCTGCGTGACATCCTGCGTGTGGTGCTGCACGGCATTAAAGCTATTAGCCTTATGGAGGATAAGCCATCGGTAATTGAGACTGAGTAGAATCTCGAAGAGAACGCTGACGTGGATTTAGATCGAGTAAAACGTCCTCTTCTATTTCCTCCCAGATCTCGATAGATATACGGAGAACATAGACAATGATTCGGACCATGACTCGGTATATGCGGAGTATCTCCGCCTGCTTATCGACCACCTCAAGGACGTATATGCTTCTATCTTGTAGCGTCTCGAATTAATGCTGCAGTACGGTTATATTACATATGACCTTCTTTGGGCGCTTTTCAAGCCTGGCTGCCATGTTTATACTATATGGCTTGGCACAAAAGAGCCGCGATGTGTTAGATTCGACGCGGGGGAAGAAATGACACAAAATGACGAGACGTGGTGGAATCTCGAGTGCCGTTTTATTGATTATGACGGAGTCAAGTTTGGCGAGGCCGGAATATTTTTGCGTGTGGTAAAGTTCCGGGGGTTAAAGCCGATCGAGAGCCTTGAGGCCTTCCCTCTCCGCTACTATCTAAGGCACGAGTAAGTCCGGAAAGACTTGGTCGAAAGAGGCTAAAAGTTTCGGGATTTGGCCGGCTCGTATATTCGGCACTGCAAAGGCAGCGCGTTCTTTATGAATAAGGGGAAGGCTATCAAAGTTAATGTTAACAGTCGAGTGGTAGTGGACGCCGCATTTTTTCATGAAATGTAGCTAAACTACTTTCGACCGTTACTCCGCGACCTCGGGGTTAAGGATAAGGATGGAATTGTAGTTATCGATATAGGTGCGATCCTTATGGAGGACCGCGAGCGAGAGAAGGAGAGGATGCAAGGAGACGGTGTGGACGTACAAAAACTAAGCGAGACCGATTTCTTGGTCGGCTGCCTAACAGTATGCTGTTTTAGTTTCAAGGAGAAAATGTTCTGTATGTGAGATGATTGACAATTGCTCGGAGTCCGACTAATTTGATTTCAGTGGAGTGCGTAGTTAGTGCTCTGAGGGACGTGGATTGGTTACCCGAATCGTTCGACTGCCTACAAATCCCTTCAGAGAACAAGATACTCCTCTTGTTAATGGCGAAAACCCGCCTAGATCTGATACCGACGGTACTATTCGACGACGTAATTGATGGAAAAGGCTAAGGACTTAATATCCTTCTGAAGTATCTTAGCAAGTGTCTATACTATACCGTGACTTGGATCCTAACTTGTGCTAGTGGCCTACCGGGAGTCGGAAAGATATTCACGGTTGAAGTAACCTCGGAGTATTTCTAGCTCCCCCTCTATTCGGTATGAACCATTTGTCACGCTGATTGTGGCCTTACTTACTTTCCTAGATATCCGCAGGTGAACTTGTTGTCGACCATGGAGATTCTCACGCACTTGAATCATAGCTTGAGTTTATCTTCAAGATCGTAAAGTACTTTAAGGCTGTACTTCTTTTGGACGAAGCCGATGCGTTTATGGTAAGTCGCACAGCGCTCCATGATAACCACAATCGACTGGTAACTATATTCTTGCGAAAGCTGGAATATTATTAGGGAATACTATTCTTGACTTCGAACCGGGGTATCTAATTTGACGATGCAATCTTGAGCCGGATCCATTTAATCATCGAGTATGAAAATTTGACGAAAGAGTTTCGAAGAGATCTCTGGTCGACTTTTCTGTCTAAGATATGTACGATGTAAGGACCAGCGCTTGTTGAGGAGCACGACCTCCGACGATTGGAGTCTCTAGCTCTGAATGGACGAGAGGTAGGTGTCTGAGCGCTGCCTAGGACGCCTTACATGCTGACTAATCGTGAACTAGATCAAAAACATTGCAGTAATTGCACACGCTCTCGCTGAGAATATCTGAGTAACCACGGCGGCGACGAGGCGGGTGGCATAAAATTCAAATGTGTCGCCTTCCTGGTCAATGACATCCCGAGCCACATCGATCTGGTGTAGACCCGCCACTAATTCGGGGGCTGTCGCCTTGTGCGGCGCTTTGAACTCCACCGCATACACTGGTATTTGTCGTTCATCAGCCACAAGGTGCACGCAGAACTGGTCGGCACGCCGATTGCGTCTTCGTGCAGTGCCATCCCTCTTCCTCTGCCTCTTCCACGCCTAGTGTTCGCCGGTCGTTGGGGTGTCCGCGCGTCCTGAAGATTCATCTGTTCTAGGCTGTTCTCCAGCGAAGTTTCCGATGGGTTTGCGCGATCATAGAAGGTGACCCGACCTTGAATTCTAAACTCTTGTCGAAGAAGTTCATCGTCTCCCAAAGCGTTAAAGAGCTTTCGACAATGTTATTCACCGCGTCTCGCTCAAAATTCCGAAGAGACGCTTCCGAATAGATCGGCTTATTCTGGATCTTCGTAACGATATAATTGATTTGGGCATCAGAAGGGAATAGTGGGCGCGATGTAAAGGCAGCGGTGCGGTCGAATTTCTCCCAGACTTGTTCCTGTAGTTGGGGAAAGTCAAGCCAAGGGACGATGTGCTTGGGGTAGAGTCGGTTCACTGGGTCGGCCGCGTCGCCCTGAGTCGTGAGGGTCGCATCTGCCTCAACTTGGATCGCTTGGGACAGAGAATTGTGGCAGAGATCGAGGAGGCGAAATAGTGTGTTGGGTTGCACTCGCCGTTCTGCCGCTTCTCGGGCCAGTCTCTCATCCTCCTCGCGGCACTCTGCCTCTTCTCGCGCCCGTCTCTCTTCCTCCTCACGGCGCTCTGCCTCTTCTCGTGCTTGCCTCTCGACTTCTCGCGCCTGTCTCTCTTCCTCTTCACGCGCTCTGCCGCTTCTCGGAGCCTTTGTTGTTCTTCAACCTGACGTCGTAATTCGGCGATTGTTTCCTCCATCCCTTGTTGAAAGAATTATTCAGCAGATAATCGAACTTAAGTCAACAGAGTAGGGGGAGCCCAGCTGGCACGGGTAATGGACTGTCACGGGAGGATGCGTGTCTGGTTGTTTACCAGCTTACCTCATTGGGTCAGTCAATTGGTGCCTCAGGCATTCACGCACGTTGCACTTTTGGTTGGTTTCAGGCATTGTCTCCAAAACATACACCGACTCGGTTTTATCTGTATTTGCCTCGTCAGTACATAGATAAATTCGGTCCTCGTTCCAACCATCAAAGTACAGTCACCGTAGCAAGATGAGTATTTCAATTGCTTCACTCGCGAGCCCCACTTCCGTCCGCCAATATATGCCTTTTGCTTCGAAGGATAAGTGCGTTGCACGATCTCGCTGTAAGGAATGCACAACGAAGCGAGCAGTCAGCAAAAGCTCTTTCCAAATAACTAACTAGAGTCAATAGGCTTACTTCTCTCGTTGTCCGTCTGTTTTGCGTAACACGCTACTGTATGCTCTAGGCTTTGGGAGTTAGAAATCATGCATCCAACGGACCTCATCGAAAAGTAAAGACGTACCTGCCTTATCCCTGGTCAGGAACAGGCTTGTTTGCTTAATGCTGGTCCCTGATTGAGCCGTTAGGTCCCGAATACACTTCAGTCCATTTCGGGGATGATTGGCACTTAAATATTGCATAAGATTCCCAGTGGAGGCGAGGTCTTGCAATCCAGAACTGCGAACTCCCCAACCGCGAACTCCAAACCGCGAACTGCAAACTGCAAACTGCAAACTCCAAACTGCAAACTCCAAACTGCAAACTCCAAACTGCAAACTCCAAACTGCAAACTCCAAACTGCAAACCGCGGACACTGCCACTTGCTTAACTCTCCAGGCTAGCTGACGATCCAATACATCATTGTGGTAGATAGCCGGAGCCAAAATCCGCCCTCATCATGGACAACGCTCACCATATCCAACGAATGGAAGAAGTATGCGCAAATGCCGATGTCAAGCTGTTGTAATTACCACCATACTCACCTGATTTAAAACCGGTCGGCCAAACAAGTCATGAATGATTAAGGATGGCTCTGATTCAATTGTCAAAATACAAAAACACCTCATGACGTCCTTCCTATTAACCAACATAGATCGGCACTCCATTAATTATATCAGTCTGCAATGAACTAACGCAGGGAAGAGGGAAGTGCATATGGGGCTTGTGAGACTGTCAAAATGTCAGCAGTCGATTGTCGGGGCTGCTGGCCCACCGTTCAATACTGGCGAGAGCCTCTTCAGAAACTGCATCAGTACTGAACGGTCTCCAAGAGCTGGACATGACAGCATGGGCATCGGTCGATTTTTCCCATCTTTGAGCATCCTGTCGAGAAAAAGTTCGTGGAAACTCGCCATTCATCAGTAAATAGACCACTGCCGCATCAAGGGCAGGGTAGGGCTTGACGCGTGAACCGTCATTCAGAACAAACGCAATCAGAGCATCCAACGGGAAACGGGGCTAGTTTCTATAGGCTGATTAGTCCCGATTGCGATAGATCATGACAACGAAGCGACACACATCTTTTTGCCTGCTTCCTTGCTACACCGCAAGAGAAAGCTTCGACCAAAGTAGCAAGTATACCACTACCAATACTCGCCGATTTTCTTTTCACTGTTAAATATCTTATAAAGCTTTCCCTTTTCCACTACTCCCAAGTGTTTTGAGTTACACAAGTTACTGATAGCGTTCCTTCTCAAAGACGTCTCTACCGCCCTACGTTCTCGTTCACATTTAAGCTCCCTTTCAAAAAAGAGAAAGAGAGATACTCTTACGATTCGGAGTTTTACGTCGTAAACGTTACCCTCGTTATATAACCCAACGAGATAGGTCATAAGGCTAGCACGATTTAGTCGCGGAAGGTGATTCGAGGACTTAGGAATATTCTAGGAAGGTACCTTCCAGAAGCCCGAAGATTTCCAAGTTCCGGAATATTTTTCCAAAAATACATCAAAATCGCGCAAAAGCAGTTAGCTAGCTACCCGCTCGACTTCGGCGACTTTTTGAGGAGCGAGGTTTGAAAAGGCTAGGCCAATCGGATTAGGTACGTACGATCTATTACTAGACATAGCTTTATTAGAATTCGCCAAAGATAGGGATAGACTTATAAGCCTTAAACTATACTCCGATAGCTCCGATAGCTAACTCTGACTTTCCAAAATACCAGTATCTCCTTCTCCAGGTAATGCTTCGGACAATTCTGGTTTAACTTAAACATCATCAGCAACAGGTTCTAATAATCGATTTACAATAGTCGGCATCGGATAATCGCCTCCTTTAAGAGAAGCAACACTCCGCGTTCGCTTACGCGTATTATCAAGATGATCATCAAAGACTTCCTCGTCCGACGATACTAACAGATTGTTAGTCAGATCGATTAAACCGGACGAGATAGAGAGTCTGCGCTATCCGGGGTTCGAAATATATTCCTCGAGGGAGCGGTTAGTATCGTAGAACAGCCGCGCCGGTGGAATCTTTGAATTCGCGTATAGCGGATTTGTCCTTTCCAAGATTTAGGACATCATATCTCTGACTAAGTCTATTTCCATATCATCAAGGCTATCGTCATCGGCAAATAAGCTTTTCGGGTCATAAAAACCGGCAGTAGTAGCTAATTAAAAATTATAATTCTTGACTACCATAGATTTCCCCGGAGAATCGCCGTAAACATCCAAAGGAATTAGTAGCGAATCCTTCCCGAGGAGGTTCTCTGCATTCTTCCGCACCTATTTACTTACCGGCATCGGAGTTATTAGCAGGTTTGAAGTAGGGGTAAGATAAGGAAGAGACTTATCTTTTCTAGGAGTACTTACAGAGCCGTCAGATAGCGGATGAGTTTCACAAGCAATATTATCAGGGGTACGGCCTATTCCAGGAACCGATTTTTCGACATCGTCAACCCCATTTAGCGTAGTACTAGCATCATTATTTAGGGGCTAAGGTGGTTCTGGAAATTTCTGATTCGAAATCTTAACCACAATAGGGGCAGATATACGGGCCGTCCGCGAGTCGGTCATATATTCAGCATCAACATCCATGCTCTCCGTCGTTTAGTCGGCGGCTCCCTCCGTCGGGTAGCCTATAGAAGATTCAGAATCACTTAGACGGCCGTCAGAACGAAAAGAGTCAGCCGACTAGGGATCTATAGAAAACATTAGCCACAGATCGCTCGGCAACAGGGAAGGACGCAGAATAAAAATAGATAAATCGATCAAAACGGTTCTCGACCCACCACGCGGGTCCTCATCCTGATCTACCCCATTCCCGTCTAGAGTGGAAGCAGATATTTGATCAGTCGACTTGTCCGTACAAACAACTTTCATGATAATCGATACTTTGCCGAGGATTTGCTACCGCTCCAAGTCATCTAGAACGGAAGCAGAAGCCAAATCGGCGAATAAACGTTCAGCAAACTAGGTATAAGGTCAGCCATATAAATAGAATTCGGTAGGGGTGATTTACATCAGGATCCTTCGATCGTGATTGAAAATACTGAATTTGATTATATGATATCTACATATATATAAGATAAAAGGGACTTATTTCGGATATTTATACTTACCTCAATCAGGGCAGTTAACTAGGTTAAGGACAACGACATTTTTTTTACAATAGCGCGACCAAGAGAATAGGAAAGGAGATCTAGGCAGCTAGAAAGAACACTTAAAATAGGGAATCAGATCGTTTTATAAGTCAATAAGGCCCGGTATATACTAGATATAAGCCTTCTCCTTAGTTCCACCGCAGCGGAACAAGAAGGCCTAAAGAGACGCTGCGGTAGCCTACTGTGGGATCCTCAATATTCTTACGTACGTTGAGACTGTCAGGTATCATCCACATTCGAATCAAACGTCCTACACACGAGTTTCCTCAGTAACAAAACAAGGACACGCCGAGGAGAGGTCATACTAGCGAAGCCTACCGACCACCACTTTATTCGCAGCTATCGATTTTATTACAATATGGGCTTCAGGTTGGAGGATAGGCTGAAAAGACCCTGAAAATAAAGAAAATATGAGCCTTAAAGTCATCAAGCGCCTCTTAGTAGCAACCTGCCCTTCCGGCTCTTCGATGGGCTTTTCCACAAAGTACATGTGATCAATAGCGTCTACTGTATTCGTATCTCTCTTGAACCTGGCTACTCGACTGTATTAAAGACGCTTCCGGGACACCAAGCATAGCGGACGGTCGAGCCATAAGGAATATTCATGTGAAAGGACGGGACGTTCAGTCTTAAGCGTCGTGGCTTTTAAACCACCAGGGTCTTATGACTGTAGTTTTAAAACCACTGTGGTCTAAATACTTCCATGGAGACTTTTCGTGGCCTCGACCCTGGAAAGAACGTACAGTATCTGATCCGAGTGAGGAGCGATATCGGCTCTGCTCCCTTTTCATCTCCATTGGCAGCGGTTCGAGATAGCTCTGGTGGAAACAGGCGACATCTTCTTAGTCCCTATGCCACTATTTATCTTGACAACAGAAAGCTGCTTGCTTCCCCAAAGCTGAATTTTGAAAATTGCCTTCGCTCGATGCGAAATGACCTATCTGGTCCATCCATATTTGAATACCTATACTAATCAAGAGGAGACTCGGCCAGCAAAAGGATATATTTAGTTGAATTGAGTTGATGAATTACTTAACTGCGTCTATATCGCGTACAAACCCCAGAAAACAATTGCATGACGCCGGTCTATACTAATATCAACGCTACAGAACGGATTACTTTCAGTCAGCAAAGAGATCGGAACATTAGCACCCATTTCCCAAGACTTATCACACATAGGTTATTCGCACTAAAGAGGAAACCTAAGATACCCGCATCGACACCGAAAGGACGTCAAGATTAAGTACTTAACCGCGCGGAGAGGAACTTTAACGCCATACTGGCCACTACATCGGTGCTCCAGTCTTACCAACGAATAGTAGGTACACTTTCGGGGTCGGCGGCTCTGGCGTCTTTGATCCACTACTAGACTGACTTCTTGCTGATCTGCTTCGTGAATCCGCCGTCTGTCACTATCAACAGCGTGTCCACTACTTCGTTAAACTTACTACAACAAGCGAGAATACCCCTATAATTATACAGAATATACAAAATAAAGGGATCAAGCTTGAAAGATTTACTTCGTCTGCATAATTGTCAGAGCAGGTAACATAATCAGAGCAGTCCGAGAAACTCACACTTTTTTCCCTGTTTCTTCGCTACACAGAAGAATAAATCCACGGCCTAGGTAGTTTCCAGACCACCACCACTACTCCCTAACAAGTTTGTGCTTATAGAAAGAGATTCGGGTCTTATCCGCCTTTACTTTAGGAAGAGATATAGTACCACAAATGGCATCTATCGCACGAATTTTGGCAGTTTGACCAGGATACCTAGCTTCGCTCTGTCGGTTAAATTCTTTAACGTACTCTAAATACAGCACTATATCCGCAAACCGTGATTTAAGATAATTCGTCTCGCCCTTAGCCTAAATCGCCTCTACGTACCTCCAAATCGCACGGCTCTTCCCGCTAGTAGGTACATAGGTGCTATTTAATAGATTTAGTAATAGAGAACACCAAAATCCGGTCGACTTCTATATTCTAGTATACTTCTCGATGAATTCGGCTAGATCAGACCGTATAATCGCCCTATATTTTCTTTTAATTTCGTCCTTTTAGTCCGGCGAAAGTATGGAAAGAATAGAATACTTAGAGAAACGACCGTCCCAATAATCGTGATCTAGATTAGGATTAACTACTATTTAACGGACGTTATTCCGAAGGCGAGGCCTACGGTTAGGGGTTAGGAGACCTGTTTGGGATTCGGCTATCGATAAAAGTCTCCGTTTACGGCTTATATTCTGGCTTCGGCTAAGCGGAGCGGCTTAAGGTATTACCTTTTATATCCGACGGGAGAGTATACTAGTAGTTACTTTTAGGTAGGTCGAAGGCCGAAGCGGAATTACTTCGATCTACCCCTATACCATTCGTAAACCTTAAAGAAGGGATTTCTTTATCCCCAGAGGTATCGCCTAGGAATCTGTACGCGTTATCTAAGACTTCCTTGATCGACAGATCCCCGAATTCGTCAGAGTCGTCGAGTAGTTCCTCGGTATTAGATTCGCCTTCGTCGGGGGTATCTTCAACTATTACCTGATATCTCGATAACCGACGTTCACTTAGACATCTCTTTAAAGTTCGGTTTTCTGTACTACTCTGTTAGGACACCGTCGTTATCGGTGTAGCGGTCGTACTTATATCGGGGGTAGAGAACGAAGCACCCGGGCTCTAACTTAAACTCGTGGATAAAGTCCCAAGAGATTGAGAGAAATCATTACAGGGAGTAGTACCTAAGCTATCTTAATATATATATTCTTCGATAGTCGCTATATCAATTCCACGAAGCTCGGAACTACCGCTAACCGTAGTATTTAAAGTAAGCCTAGGAGACGGTTTCTCGCCCATTCCTTCGATAAGGCCAGACGGAGGAGGCGGGGTATATAGTTAACCTATTAGGGGTATATCTTTACTAGCAGCTAGAGTCTTACTTATTAGACCTTTGTTTCCTACGAGTGGAGATCGGAGGGAGGGGTCGGGGTGATATATACGATCGCCGTGCTCTAAATAAACGTTAGACGATTAAGCAAGGCGTGTTATTTCTTCGAGCTCTCGAAAGGCGGAGTCAAAGTTAGAGCCGGGGGCGGTTTTTGCACTAAGAACCTCTTACTCTCCGAGGGCGCCTAAGGCTTCTCTAACTAGTTTATATAAGGACTTCTTGTTAGGCTTCTGACTAGGGCTTAGTAGTAATAGCGAGCGAGCGAGATCCGATCCGAGAGTTAGGGTTAAGGTTCTTGTTGTATAGATATGTACGTCTTTTTCCAAAGTCAGCAGCGATAGGTCTAATAAAGGGAGCGATGTTAGCATAATAACCCTCGCGAATAAGGAATAGTAGGTATAAGTAATATATTAGGATATAGAGAAACTACTGTACTTACCAACTATCGGACATGATATATATTCTACAAGTAACGACAAGACTAGGTAATCTTCGATATCGTACTTAATAAGATAATCGCTAGTCGATTTGATCTGTTCGTAGAGGCGGATAATCTCGGTATAGGGGAGGGCGGATTAGATTTTGCAGAAAGAGGAGAGCGCTCGCAAAATCTAGATTAATCGTTAATTACCAACGAAGATCTTAAGATAGGTAAATCGATATACCTCGTTATCCGATTATAGAATACGTTCCTCATAACTATTCGCTTCGACATCACCGTCGTTCTGTAGAGGAAATAAGATAGTGGAACGTTAAGCAAAATAGTTTACTTACATTCAGCTTCAACCTGATTTAAAGCATCCTAAGAAATACTAGTATCGTGATTATAGGTTCGATAGGGAGTACATATATTCTCGGGAGATAGAGAGGTCGTTAGTATAGGAGTGGGTAGGGGAGTTAGCCAGGCGCCTTTTGCACAGGGTCGGCTCCGGGTCTACTCCAGGCCTGCTCCGGGTCTGCTCAGGGTGTACTTCAAAAGCAACCGTTGATCCTGACCATAACGTTGAACTGCCTGGGTTTTCGCAGCCTTCGGCATTTTGGCAAGTGCGGTGTATTTGAAAAAACGGATGCATTTTTTAAAAGCTTTAGCCGTTTTCTCACTCTCGTTATTCTTCGTCGAATTTGGAACGATAATTTTGCTTTGCGTGAGAGGGAAGAAAAGGAGGGGTTTGAGATTTGTTGTCAAATGTTTACGGAAGCTTTGATTTAGTCAGCGTGTCGATCATGTGATACTGATATGAGCGGCTTTTGATGGCAGAAACCACCAGGCGGTCAGAATGCGCCAGGATGCTCCAGGGACTACTCCCGGAGCAGGTGGAAGATTGATTGATTGATTGATTGATTGATTAATTCATAGACTGTCCCAGCCGCCCTAAGGCAGCTATGCAGCGTCCATCCATAAGTACAAGTGTCCCCGCCCTTGCTTTCAGACAACAAGCCGTCCCTCCCAGAACTGCTCCCTTCTTCCGCTCCAGGCGGTCGTCCCGCACTCATAATCTCATGATTGTTCTGTGTCTATGTACTTGTCGGGCCTTTCCTGGCCCTCCTCTCCTTCTATATACCAAAAATCACTCGTCTTCGCTATGTGTATTTTAGTACCGTGGATGGTACTGCCCGGAATTGTCCCAGCAGTCCAGTCCTCAAGATCATCTTTGCTGCTTGTACTGCCATTGAAGGGCTACAGAGAATGCGTTTGATGTCGATGCATGGAGCCCTGCCTGCCCACATTCGATGTCGTTCGTCCGCCCAGTTTCGGCACTCGAGGAGGATGTGTCGTACGGTTTGCGGCCCGTGGCCGCATTCGCATTGGTCGGAGTCGGCCTTGTTGATGGCATGGAGGTATGCTCGTAGGCCGATCTTGCCCGTGCGTATCTGTGTGATGGCGGAGCTGATCGCTCTGTGTGTGCCAACGTGCGTGTCGAGTATCGCCTTCCCTGGCCTCACCCCGAGCCTAAACAGCTCTCTACCGTGCTTGGCATTCTCCCAGGCCGTGTCCCACTCGCCTCTCATCGCTCGACGGATGATGGACTTGGTGGTTGCCGTGAGTGTTCGCCGAGAGTCTGCTTCTGGCGGCATCTTAGTGTTCGCTCCCGTACTTGGGACGATTCCGGCGGCCTCTTTCGCTGCTTGGTCGGCTGCCTCGTTACCTGGCACTCCGACATGTGCTGGAATCCATCGGAACTGTATTTGCCACCCCTGGCTCCGAAGCTCTTCGAGTGCTCGAATAGCCTCGGTCAATATGTATTGCCCGGATGGGTGCTTAGGGTTCCGAATGGCTTGGATGGCGGCTTGGTTGTCAGTGAACACAGCGGCGCATCTGTCTGGCGGGACGCATATTTGCGGTGTGTCGAGTACTATCTGTAGCGCGAGACCGAGCCCTCTGAGCTCTGCCGCGTACACCGTGGAGGTCCTGGATGTACCCATATACTGAGTTCGCTTCGTCCAGGGCCCGTTGGCGTGTGGTGCACGCGTTACAGCAGCCGCGCCGACGTGGGAACAACACCACCCACAGCTCAGAACAAATTTTTGAAAACGCGTCGCATTTTGTAATTTCTACAGTTTTCCGGTCTCCTAGAGGGCATTTACGTCAATTAACGCGTAAAAACGCGTCCAAATTGTCGTGATGGCGCCTAGGTGGCCACATGTGAACGACGGCCCCGAACACATCAATGAGCACGCCACGTACCTCAGAGAAGCATGCAACCAGCTGCAGGCGGTAGGTAGAGGAAGGCAGAATCAGGTCCCATGGAACATAGTGCAGCCATACCTGGCCTCGACCCTTGCGCTCATTGGCAAAGTCCTGCGACAGCCTGCGATGGATGAGATCCTGCAGCACGTCCAGGACGCGGCCAAATGCACACAGAACATCCAGAAAGACATCACAGTCATTAAGAACTCTGTCGGACTCAGCACTACTCCGATAAACCCAGCCAACTTTAGCGGAGGGAGTAAAAACCGCCGCTGCGACCTGGGCGCAGGTGGCCTCACTCGCTAAAGGCGCGCCAGCTCTCCCCCTTCCTGCACCACAAGGAGCGCACACCACCAAGACCCAAGCCACAGTTACAGCATACAAGGACCGAGTCATAACAGTGAAACTGAAAGACCAAGGCATTGCCCAGCGATACCGCACACACTCAGCAGCATGGACCAGACAACAAGTGGAAACCTCAATACACGGCAACGCTGCGACCAAGCAGGTCAAAGTAGTCGCCGCACACCAGCTCAAAAGTGGTGACATACAAATATTCACAAGCACAACAGCCGAGGCTGCGCAGCTTAAGCGTAAGAAAGGCTGGATTAAGGGCCTTGGGGAACGCGCAGAGCTTGTCCTTCCAACCTACGGCGTCATTGCCCATGGCATCCCCACCAATTCCATTAACATCAAAGACCAAGAAGCAACGATTCAACAGGTGCTCGCAGACAATTACACAGTGGTCCCAAATGCGGAGATCTCATACGTGGGATGGCTGACCAAAGAAGCCACCCTCAAACATGCATCCTCGATCGTTGTGGAGTTCAAAGACCCAGAAAAGGCTAATGCCGTCATCTATGCCGGAATGGCATGGGAAGGCCAGATTCATCAATGCCAGCTCTACGACCGCGCCTGCAGAATAAAGCAATGCTTCCGGTGCTACAATTACGGTCACATCGGCACTCAATGTAACGCATCCCAAGTTTGCGGCTATTGTGCAGGGCATCACGAGACGAAACACTGCAAGCAGAAGGGAGTGGAGGGTTTCACACCTTATTGTGCAGTGTGCAAAGGTGCTCACACCGCATGGAGCAACGCCTGCCCAGCAAGGAGGAAGGAGATGCAAAGGGTGGAACGTGCCAAAGAAGTCCGTAGCGTCTACTGGCATGTCCCTCCAAAAGAAAACACCACTCAACCGGAACCGCCTATTGCCCACATGAGCCACCAAACACAGGCACAGTCGAGACCTATTCCTGCCCCAACAGCGGCCCGAGAACCGGAAAACGCCACACCAGCAGGAACTTACGCCCTCGAAAGCCCCGACCCCGGAACGCCGCAAGATGCCACCGGGTCTGTTAGCCAGTTGCCGGAGGAGATACCGGCACAGGAACCCACTGGAACTGAAGGATCAAAGGCACCAAGCGCAATGCCAACGCCTATCGCCCTGACCGACGGAGAGGAGTGGGCTACGCCTGCAGTGCTACAGGACCCAATTTGGCAGACCGATCCGGCAAACGACCACCCACCACCCTCGCACCCGATTGACACCACCGAAGAATCGGAAACGCAAGGTGCAGATGACTGGCTAAACGGCATCGCCAACGAAATCGGAGATGTATGGCTCTACGGACCCCCAGATGGCGACCCATCTCCACAGACATCGATGGTCACGGACCCCCGCACAGCCGGAGGGAGAATATACAAAGGATGTAAATGCGATGAGCACCAGGAGATCTACGCGGACTGGCCAACACGGGACGCCGATCTAACGATCGCTCAATGCATGAAGATCTGCACGTACTGTGGCAAGGACTTCACGACTGCTGCAGAGCTCCGCAAACACCTACGCCAGTCAAAATACACCAAACAAAATCTGGCTGTGCGGATGGAGACGCGTGGAAGTGGAAGCTCCCTGACTCCCAGTTGGACACATCGACGTCGGACAGAACCACCCATCACTCTATCAGAAGCTCGAAGAACCCGGACCCGATCACGTATAGACCGCGATGACACAGCATCTCTCCAATGCTAGGACATCAAGAGCTGCGTATCTTACAGTACAACGTCCAAAAGTCAAGGGAGGTCGTTCTCGCCAGTTTATTCCAAAACCGCAGGGTTCTGGAATATGACGTCTTGGCAATCCAAGAACCCTGGCGCAATCCATCCACCACTACATCCTACCACCCCCTCAAAGCACACTTCCAGTTAACATACCTCCCTCATGCCGAGACGAGGGTCAGCTTCTACATCAACAAACGAGTTGACCCGGAGCAGGTGGAAGCTTCTGGAAACACGAACAGGGGGGAAAGTATATGAACCAACGACAGGTTCTGGGGGGCCCAGAGTACTCCCGTAGCACGCTGAGCGTGATAGATGATGACGTCACACACGTGACCGTATCGAACTTTTCGAGACGGTCACGTGTGGCATGTGTTCTGTAGGCCAACAGAGACTGATCTTGATGCAGTCCACTTGATAACTGAACTTCTTCGGAAAGCTGTAGCCAGGTATTGCTGCCATGGATCTCACATTTTCCTCTTGGATGTCTTCGGTCGTTAACTCTACTTAACGTTCTCTAGCACAAAATGATTGTGTCCACTGTGCTATGCGCTAATACACATCTCTCCCACCAAACCAACGATTAGGTAAGACGTCTTGAATCAAGACGAGTTATATCAGCATCCGAGCATCTGGGGAAGGCAGGAAAGGGCATGGGCGTCGGCGGAGCTCAGGATCGCTCTGGCTGAGGCGACTGTTAACGGTTCGGAATCGCGCCACTCCTACCCCTGGTTCGATGGCCCTGTATTGGACTACGGTACATGCTGCAGCGGACTTCAAGGAGAACGGCCGCAATCCTACGACTCTGGACCATTTGCGCCAAGTAATCCTAGGCTCCTTTGACTGCACTTACTGAGGAGATGACGAATGTGGCGCTCGCCCATTGCGGAGGTTATGGTAGCATTTCCCATAGCAGTTTGGGAATTTTCGAAGTGCCACCTGCTCGCGTCATCTACAGGTTTATACACCGGAACATCCAGTTCTTAAAACAATTCAAATACACGCACACTGCGCCACCATCCCCGCAGCGCCTGTTGTCTTGGTTTCACGTCTCATGGCAATTATGAGAAGATCCCTGTGAAGGCTAGCTAGTGAATGAGAAAAGCGTCGCCCTTATCGCTGTCTTATTGTATCAAAATTTAAGACCCAGAGTTGCTGTCCTTGCAGCAGATGAGGCTTGATGTAATCCCTCGCATCCAGTATACCCATTCCATTACCATAATTGTTGACATGAAAGACACTACTGTACAAAGAGAGGCAATTGATGAGAAATTTCCGTTGATTAGAGCTTCTAGACTTTGGAAAGAGCTGATCCATCTCCTTGATCTGAAAGAGCCTCTCCAAGCTCGCGGTCTATCTCCGCCGATTCTTGGATTGGACGAGGGTAGCATGACTCCTATTATCGTGACTTGAGCGGCGAATATCTCTACGACATATAGAATAACGTACCAAGTTGGACAAGTCTTTGAGCCACTGATTATAAGTAGAAGAGTCAAGGATATACATCTGTCCGTTTTTGCGGACTCGCACAGCCAAGAAGACATCGGAATCGCACTTAAGGACAAACTCTTTAGCCTTTTTGAATAAGTTTCGCTTACGTCTATTTCGTTGTTGCGTTTTCGCTCGCGCGCTCTCCGACTAGCGTTTCTTCACCCATAGGGATTTTTTGGATATAATGTAGTTATCCCAGAGACGAGATTGTTTGAAAGTTCCCCTATATTTAAGGTAGCTCAGCCTGTTAAATATCCTAAGCGTAGTCCCTAAGGGTAGCTACGGTCGCTGTGGAAGATATATATATTCTACCTTAGGGAGCCGCGCCGCAGCGAGGCTATCTATCCTTAGCGACTATACCTACTTTAAAAGCGTCTTAATTTTAGCGAGCTCTTTACCTAGCACACCGTTTTTAAGATTTTTCTGCTACCTTTAGGGGAAATCCTATATAGACTATAGAGGTAGTAGCTATTTATACGATTACTACTAGCGGTATTCTTTTAGCCCTTTTTCTGATCCAGACTCGCTCCGTATTAATTAACTAGACAGAATCTTTTACTATTCTACTCTCTCGATATTTAACTCTCCTAGTCCTTATTCATCGGTATCGGATCTAGGGTCTATAGACTCGATCCGGAGTCCTTATTTATATGGTATATATTAGTATTAACATCACTCTGGTTTTCCTCAAAACTAATTCGTTTACTAGGGCTAGCCGGTGTATAGGAGAGCTAGCGCTTATTAATATAATCTTCCCTCTATTAGCTATTTACCTTAGCTATCTAGCTAACCTCCTTAGTATTATATAGCGTACTTATCGCAAAATTCACTATATAACTAGCTAGATAGTCGTTGCTCTGCTATTATTTTATATTATTACTAAGGTCCAGAGCGAGTAACTTAGCTTTCCTCTCGGTAGTATACGTAATTTATTTACTATAATCGTACGTCTCCCTCCTAGTATTATATTAATATAGCTAACAGTTATAGGGTACTACTTTATTAGGTATCCTTACTCTATTTTCTATTCTATACCTTCGTTAATAGTTATACGAGATATTCCTCCGAGCCTATTAGATCTTAGCTAGCCTCTTTGTCTATAGTACTTAGTAGTATCTTCTAGCCTATAACGGCTCGCTAAAACTATACGTCTATATTACTTTAGGTATATTAAGTCTAACGATATACTTAGAATTAGCGACCTTATTATATCGAAACGGGCTCTTTTCGGGCCACGGAGCTCCTCGGGCTCTTATATCGTTCACTAAGAAATCTTAGGAGAGTAGTAATATAGTAGTAGCGGCCTATATTCGTATTATCTTACCTCGTCTAGTAAAGGTTAAGCTAGATTAGTATATTAATCTCTAGATACTATCGGTTACTTTATAGTCGTAGATATAGTTATACCCTTTTATAGTTATATCCTAGTCACAGGGTAAATAGGATACTATAGAGCTCCTTATATAACCGTAACGAGGTATAACTTCAAATATTCTCCGTTACGCCGCTATCGCTCCGGATAGCTCGGTATCTTTCCTAGCTCTATTCACCGGGCCTTATAGTATAAGCGAGGATATTAGTCAATATAAAACTACTTTAACCATTACGAGCGGATTTAGGATTACTATAATAATTCTATACCTAAAGAAGATAATATATAGTTATAATACCTAAACTCTTCAGATTCGCCGGCTATACTTAGTCTGGTAAATTAAATCGATTAGTAAGCGTATCTTTCACGGACTTTAAACTACTTTAAGCTAACGAAATAGATATAATAACTATAGCCCAGAGCCTACTCAATACCCTCCTTAAAGATAATATTATAGATAAAGGCTATATTTATCTCTAGTCTCGAAAGGGAACGTAAACACACGATACTAATAGAAGTATATATATAGATACTTAGTATATCAATCTATATTAAGAACGGCCTCGCGTAAGATAAGACACCGTTCGGCAAACATAAACGAGCATATTTCTACTAAGGTATCCCTAATTACCGTAGTATTATCTCGCTCGAGGCATCCGGGAGCCAGATCGAGAGGCTACCGAACATTCGAGACAAGCGAGATCGGACATTAGTAATAGATAAGTACTCTAGGCGGATTCCATTCGCATCACATACTTAATACTATCCAGTTTCTACACCAGGCGATCTTCGAGACCACATACGGCAGATCGTCAGAGGCCATCTACACCAGGGTATTACGTTTTCGGAACTAGAATACCAACCAGATTAGGGAATTAATCGGCAACTTATAGTAGGAAATCAGAAATAGGAAGGTTTAGGGCACGTTATAGGATATTTATAGTAGTTAGAGGTCTAGATACTAGATACTATCTTAGGGAAGTGACCATAGACTAGAAATAATATCTTCACTTATAGTCTCCTGAGCTATTCTGTTCTAGGCACCTTCGAAGGTTTCCAGGGAGATTCATAGCATATAGAAAGATAGCTGCGGCCAGGCGGTAGGGCAGGTGCGTCATAGGCCCTCTGCACGTCTTTTCCAGGAACCCCAACTTTTTTCTCACCCTTCTCACCCTTCGGGGTAAGATCTGTCCTTCTCCTAGTCACCCTTATAGTCTAGACACACCTATTTATAACGGGTAGGTAGGGCTAGTGCTTCTTTTTAGGAACCTCTTTCACTTAAAGAAGTCCCCACTCATCCTTTCTCTCACCCTAGGGTGAGAAGAGCGTCGCTTTTCGATCGCCCCAGATAGATCTCTAGGTATATATATAGTGAGTAGTGCTAGTGAGGCTGGTGCATCATACGTCCGTCCTTTTCTTCGGCCTATGGCTGCGGTTTCGTCCCTACGGTTCGATCTCTTTCTAGGAACCCTTACTTTTTGACCCCCAGGCCCCCTTTGGTCCAGGATAGGTCTGCTCTCGATTTACCTATAAATAGTAGCTATTCTGTCTCTTCCACCTATAATCTTTCCTAACCGGTGTATTTAGTATATACCTTATTACCTTTAAAACGGTATCCACTCCTTTAGTAAATTCTTACTACTGACCCTTAGTCCTTCGTTATTATCGCTAGAGCGTTTTCGTAGGCTGGTCCCACTAATATAGTTACCCTCACAGTCGGCCTATAGGTAAGTCGGTCCTTTTCGAATTTAAACAAGCACTTATTCCAGTTAAAGAATTTCTATCCCAAGTATAGGCCAGAGTAGGACTAAGATATATATTTCGAGGTGAGTTAACTTACTTTGATATTATTCGTTAATAATACTAATTCTAGCCCAGCTAGTCAATCAGATTAGCAAAAAACTAGAACAGATTAGGCGAATAGATATATTCCAGATAACGGATATTTTGATACGAGCAGAATAGAGGCGGTTTATCCGATAGCACATACTAGCTACGCTTCAAGAGGGCGTTATTTCCTCAATATACCGGAATACTTATTAGGACGTTTTATCTGTTTTTATATATTTCTAGGTAAGTTACTCTTCCAGATACTAGTAATATCTAATAGTAAATATATCAGGAACTTAACTCAGCAATAAACCCTATTAACTTTAGCGTGGATAAACTTAGATTAGTAAGTTAATAACTAGATATTTACTTCCTAGTCTTAACTCTCTATAGTTTATTCGAGCTTTCGGGGACAACCTAGAGCAGCTCCAGAAGCTCACACTAACCTAAGTAAATTAAGTTAGATATAGGCTTTAGTATACCGGATTTATGAAAGACTTTCTGGTATAAGAACCTATCTAGGATAATCCTATAGTATCTCTAGGTAAGAAGTATATAATTTCCGATCTTTTTAGCCTTATCCTATCTAAATATTCGCTACCTTTAGAGAGTACTATTATACGGATACCTCATAGCCTACTCTATCTACTCCACTATCTTCTAACAGAGTATATCTACCTACAGACAATCCGGAAAATCGAACCTCTTCTAGTAATAACGAAGATATTCAATCGGACTAGCTTTTATATCCCTCAGATACCTCAGAGAAACTAAGTACTACTTAGCCACTATTTAGAATAGCGATATCCGAAAATATATCTATACCTAGGATCGAGGGGGGTACTTCTTATTATCCGATACCGCTTACCACTTATCATTCTCCTAACGAAAGCGCGCTACTATTATTAGGGGCTAGTCGAGCTATATCCCCTTAGCCATACTTAGGAGCGTTATACCTTCCTATCCTTATACCTAGGCTAAATAGGGGATATCCGACACCCTCGACTGTTTCCGTTAAAATTCCGCGAATAAGAGAGTAATATATCTTTCCCGGATTTAGAGCTGCTATAGATAGTTAAGTAAGCCCTATAAATAGATTATCTAGCGCCCTAGAGGATTAAGTAACCGTAACGGAAACTACTAATAGCTTAAGGTATACTACACTTATAATATTGTAATCTTATAATATTTTACTCGGGAACGCTCGAATTTAGGAGATCCTTAAGGCGGAGGCTTATCTCCTACCGCAGGACCTTAATAGTATACTAAAATCCCTATTCGATTATTAGCGTGAATACGGCTTACTAGATTTATATACACTCGGGCTTCCTATATAATAGAAAGGTATATAGGTAGCCGTCGATTACCTACGAGTTCTAGACGCAGATACAAAATCCCCTTATCTAAGTCCCGTTACGAAGCGTATTAGGTATATATTACTCTATTTTAATTATAAGGAGCTTTGTAATCACCCTAAGAATTACTATCCTACTCCGCTATCGAAGCCCTATACGAGCTACGTTCTGAATTATATCCTTAGTACCTACCTAGACGACCCGCGTATATCTAATCCCCGGCAGAGTCGCCGTAATAAGATTACTATATACTATATCCGACGAGGTAAATAGTAGTAGATACTTATAAGTAACTAGGGAGCTAGTATACTACTAGTAGGCGACAGTTCTCCACACGATATTATATATATATTCCTACTAAATTATTACGCGGCTTAGCTAATCTTCACTAGGTATATTTATATATTTCGGGAGCGTCAGATCTAAGTTTTTATTACTTTCGTCCAGAAGACTCGGCCAGGCACTATTTATATCTTTAAGAATTTAGAGCCTATAGTTAAACTCCTTATATTTAGGGAGATCACGTACGATCTGCGTAAGGTCCTTTTCGATAAGGATATCGGTCTTCTCAGACCGAAGGACATAGCGGCCATCCTCAAGGATGATACGAGAGCCCTAGCCTTCCACTAGTCCAAAAAAAACTAGGAAGTAGCAGATGTTCAGAAGAGTACAAGTCGAAAGTTAACTAAGTTCTACAGCTAATATACTAGTAACGTAGCACTGACTCAACAGCCAACTCTAATATCTTCTGTGGTCAGTAAACAGCTTCATCTCGTTTAAGCCTATCCTCTGTTTTTTTGCGTCTATATATTACCCATCACCCATAGCTTTCATAAACGCGATACCTAGAATAAAATAAATATCGATCATTTACTCATCTTCTTTTTTTCCTATCTGCTTCCTTTAGGTATAGTTTAATCTCTATATTACTAGACTACGTATTAGTCAAAATAGACAGTAATAGCCGCACACTTTTACAATCATCCGGCTTACCTTCCTAAGAACCCCGCAAAAGCTTTCATATATAGTCATATATAGGACGAGACTAACCTCAAAGTTACAGTACAGAGCTTCCTTAGGAGATTAATTAGTAATAACCATATAGCACTATCAAACCCATAGGGCGCCAACGAGAATCTTTCCTTATCAGGACGCCAGTCGTCGTTTGGCTTCAGCTTAGAACTTTGCAATGGTTTTAATTTGTATCTGGAAGGCTTCGAAGATAGAGTACACAACAGGACAGCAGGACGATCCACGAAACAAATCATATTATAGAATTTAAAAATTTAATCTTTTCCCATCGTAGTTAAATAGATCGCATTCGTTAATATTTCTTCCCCCCCCCCCCCGCGCCCCTTTTCAGCCGTAAGCAATAATAGCGTATAGCCTAGTCACTCTCCTCCGATCTCGGATCTCGGCGTATATAAGTAAAATATACAGGCAGATATCAGCGCAAACCACGCAAGGCCGATCAGATCGCCCGGGGACCATCGGGTTTCTGTTAAAAAGCGCTACTAGAAACGAGTAAGCACAGTTCTAGATCAAAACTAAGGGGCATATACTTTTTTTAGTTCCTCAATTAAGCTAGCTAAAATCGTGGCGGAAAGAAAATCGAGGGCGGCTAGGCATATTTACCAGCGGTCAAGGTTATTAATACCGACTACGCCGTTATCTTTAGAATATTTTTGTATTAATTCCATTATGACTTTAGACACGGGAGTCAAATCAATCTTATAAAGTCTGCCTGTCTGTCGGATAATATAGCAGTCGATGCGTACTGGGATTATAGTTAGTAGGTAACCCCTAACGTGTATTTATAGATTTAACTTACTAATCTTTACCTCCCCCTTAAGGCTTATAAGAATACTAGAACAATCCAAAGATAGGTAATAGAAATTTTAGGTAGCTAGATATAATAGTCTATTAAGAAACTAGATATAATTAGCGACCTAGTGCCCGTTTACGAGAATAATTAAATAATAAACCTAGGATATAATCGCAGCTAGCTCTACCTAGTTTAGGAAGGCTTTATAAGCGATAACATAATCTAGCATAAACGGATCAAACTTACCTAGAGTATATAGGGAATCGGAGGTACGAAAATATTCCTAAATAGAAACTATATTCTTATAGGATATAGAACGAAGAATCCTCAGGATTCTATCGGTATCTTTACTAGGGTATCGACGGATTACCCGTACGGCGCGATAGTCAGAGGACCGAATATAAATAGTAATATTACTAGCTAGATTATATTCGTAGTATAGCTTAAAAGTATCCTAGGATGATTTATCTCGTATAAATCTATCCGAGCCGATAGTGTTCTCCAAACGACTAGCCCCCTAGAGAGCTAAGTTCTTAGGGGAGCCTCGGATAACCTTACTAGAGGGCTCCGAGGGAGATAGCGTAGCGGCCCTTTTAATCGGGCGGGAACCTAGTTAGAGGGGAGGTTTGAGCTTAGGTTCGGTTACTAGTAACGCCGTACGATCATCTTTATATAGAGCTTACTATAGAAGGAGAACCATATTAGTTTAAATTTTTATCACTCGATTATCATCGAACGGCCGTATGATAGCGATAATAAGTCTTCTTTTGAAGGTAGTAAAATAAGTAATAGTATATATAAATACTATAGGACGATACTATAGTTTAAATCATTCCCCTAGTAGAGAAGTATAGGTAGGGGCCTAAGGAACACTATAGTACGTTATACGCAGGATAGTATAGAGGCGCCGTAGCGGGATATACTTTTAGCTATATAAATAGATATAACTAGCTAGAGCTTCCGTATATTATTTTCTACTTTCTGTACTCCTATCGTCCCTTAATAAGTCGATCCTTTTTTACCGATCAAGAGGTACGACTAGTAACGGAGCGGCGTCTGAAATATATTAGAACGGCTAAGGTTAGTATTAGTTAGATTCAATTCGACCCTCCTTTACCCCGCGACCTAGATTTAAAGAACTTAGAACGACTCCGTAGCATCTTCCGGAAGAACTATTATCGCCGCCTAGATATCGATAATCATATTCCTACGATTATATCCTAATATAATCTTACGGATATATTACGGAAAGTAAATATTCTGTAGTAGTTACTACTAACGAATAATATCTATTAAATTCCCTATCTTATATTTATAGTAGGGTAGCTTTAGGGTTTATACGGCCGCTACTATATATAAGTAGGGACCGAGGTACTTCCTCTGGCTAATCGCTAGTAGACCGTCGATCTCTACCTAGACGGTATATTTTAGGTATATCCTCTTTAGTTCTTATATTTCCGTGCTGACTACCGATAAAGATATCGGTAAGGAACTACGGGCCTCTTTAGTAGAAGAATACGCGAATTAGAAGAAGCCTTCTAACGGAGAAATCTATCGTAAGATTAGATAGTACAAGGGCGAAGATAACGAGGCTTTTCGGGAGCGGTAGTTTATAAGACTATTACTAAATAATTAAGGACGCTTAGATTAACTAGATAATAAAAGAAACCGCTATCTCCGGCGTACCTTCGACCGGTTACTAGTAATTCCCGGGCTTTAGCTAAGCGGAATAAGGATTAGTTTACTCTATCGGTTTATAGCCTCGGGCTATATCTAAGTAAGTTCGGTATTCGTGTTCTTTACGCTTCGCTAACTATATATCTATCTATTCTGTAGGAGATAATAACCTATTTAGATTATATCTAGAACTTCTAGTCTTCTTTAGTCGCCTCGAGTAGTCCTTTAATAAAGAAGATTAATTAAGATACCGTCGAAGCCCTATAATTACTTATACCCGGAAAATTATATACCGACGCTAAGACGGCTTATAGACTTATTCTAGGTAGTTACGTATTCGGGGAATTTAGCGACGAGGAGAGGCGCGGTATATAGACCTAGATAAAGGTTTTTGACGGGCTTATTCTATTATTATATACCCTTTTCGAAGACTTTAAATATATAGAGAGCTATACTTATTGCGTTAAGCGACTTTTTAGCCTATTAACCTCGATCTAGGAAACTATAAGTTCGATATTTATTCTATAGTTAAACTCTGAAGAATATTATCTAGATATAGGAGAAAGTATTATTTAGATATCGGAGTCTACTTTTCGATATTAGCGAGCGACCGATATAGAGCGCCTCGAGACTAGCTACCTATAGGTATAGCTATATACTATATAGTACTATACTCTGATACCCCCGGACCTAAAGAAGAAGGACGATCTATTAGTAAAACCATCTCGTACAAAGCTAGACTAGAGAGTAATCTACGAGATAGCCGAACTTACTCGCTATCTTAGGTTTAAGTCTACGGAGATCGATAGATTAATTCAGAGTTCTCCCGATTATTAGATCGTACGGTTAGCTCTGCTATAGGCCCGAAAACTAGATCGGTATCGATACGACCGTAAGTAGTTCGATATCCTAGTTAGTCAGATCGTTAGTTATTTTAGATATACTATTCCTAACTAGCCCGACCGGTTATAAGATCTTCTCGCGGATAGTACTATAAAGCCGCGGGTTCGTTCCGGGGTACCTTAAATACGTACTCAGAGGTAAGATAACGCCTTGCTCTTCCTAGACTATCTATACGCGGATATTAAGGTTATAGATACTATTACTAGCTTCTTTGTCCGCTATTATATTTATTTTGCATTTTTCGGAAAGCCTATACGGCACGGACTAGTTCCCGATAGAGACTACCCGATAGGGGACGTACCTTAGTCTCTGCTGTTTGTGGAAGAGGAAGAACCGTCTAATTATTATATATAAACTATATATATAGCTCTATTAAGCGCGCTAACTCTAGATAGACAAGATTAGCTATAAAGCGATATAGCCCTACCGAGAGAGGTATAATAAAGCATAGAACACTAGTAATAACCGAGGAGTAAAAATACACGGGATTATTTAAGGCGTCGGCGAAGGCGGAAAGTTTAGGTACGCGGGCTTACTTCACGCTAGGCGACTAAGCGCGAATAAGAACCCATAGAGTAGGACTTACTAGATACGGAAACTTACGATTATGATATATCAGACTAAATTTCCCCCGGGAATTAAATATCGAACTAGTACCGATCGATTTAGCAACGGCTTATATGTATGATTCCTATGGTCCTACTAGCCCTAGAGACATAGATACTATTAGTGACTCTACGAGGATCTCTTTCGAAGTAAATAAGGCTGAGTAAGATCCGGACGAAGGAGTATTAACTATGGTACTAGATCGATAAAATACTATCGATAACCGGATAAGGGTTATTTATGCGCCCCCGCTAGGGCCCCCAGAGTCCGATATAGACTATTTATTAAATAGTAATAGCCCTCCCGGGCAGTAAGTATTAGATACGTATCTTGCCTATCTAAGGAGAGCTTAGGAAGAGTAGGAAATATTAGAAGAGGAATTAGAGCGTAAGCGGCTTAATAAAGAGTTTAGTCTGTCTAACTAGGCGTATCTTCCTTTAGGGGATTCGCCTTAGCTTAAGGATAGACAAAATATACTACTACTAGACGCTAGTAACGAGCTAGCGCCACTAGGGCACGTAGATATCGAGTACCTAGCTTCTACTCTAAATATCACTAATTAGGATCTATCGCCAGTCTCCCTCCGTGATAGGTAGCTAGAATCTATAGTAGAGAACCCTGATTAACCTAGAGTAGCGGTCTCGCCTTAACCATAGTAAGGGCCCGTTAAGATTTAGTTCTTAGCCCTTAAGCGAGAATAGTAGAGGAAGTTAGATCGTCTCCTTATAGACCCGTCAGACCTATTACCGCTAGAGCGACTTGCGCGAAAGTATATATAGAAAGGCTATTTACTGTACGATATAAATCTTCAAAGTCTTAGGCCGGCCTAATATTTCCGTACGGCTACCGCCGATAGAGAGAATTCTATATTCGTGATTTTAGAGCACGAAGAGCGGGAACTTATCGCTAAAGGCTGACTTACTAAGGAGAGGTAACTTCTAATAATGGCTTCTCGAGCGCTAGAGGAAAGAGGTTTAAACGTACCGGCTCGTTCTGTGAAGCTAAGGGAACCATAAGGAACCTTTTAAGTATATATAGGTACTATGTAGTCCGGAATAAGAGGCCATCAGAGATATAAGCGATACAGCCCCGGGAGAAAGTTCTTAGAAAGCTTAATAAGATAAGCAGCACGTCCTGTGTCTATCGTTGAATTATACAGCGCTTCTTGTAGGCATAGCTATAGGAATACATATATATAAATATTTTTTTGGGTAGATTTTCTTGGGAGGTTTCGGTACTTAGAAACCCCAGAATAAAACCTTTATTCTAAGAGGTAAGTCTTCCCGAGAGAATCCTCTTAAGAGGAAGTTAGTCTTGTAAGGCCTAACCGAAGAGAAAATACTACACAAGAGGGCCTACGTCATATAAAACCCTTCTTTATACAGGACCCGTCCTATAACGGTAGTCCTAGTCCTAGCCTGGTCATAAGCCGGCTTGCGTCATTAGCCAATTTATTTCAGTGAGGCGGTTGTCAGTTCCATTCATTACAAAGAGATTCGATTATGGATATCCTTTAGCCGGGGTTCCTACTGTCTTACGAGTAGACGAACTTAGGTTCATTTCAAACTAGAGACTTTAAGAGCCTCTTAGGGACGCTTATCAAGAGGTCAAGGTCAGATAAGTTTCACGATATCATTAACTAACGAACTAGACATACGCTTAGGAGCAGTACGTAGGGCCTCTATAAATTTAGGAAGAGGGTTTTCTGGCCTATATGGTCCCCGAGCTAGAAGAGACACATATCCAGTGCCTAAAGGCCAGTAATATAATAGAGCTATAGAATCATATCCAGGCGGGCTTCGAGTCTGGAGATATAGGTCAGTTATAGGGAAGCTGTGGTAGGAAGGCTTTAGCTTTAGGCCCCGTGACCTAGAACAGTTAATTCGAGGCTACCGATAGAAGGCTATAAACGTGGATCCACTTTAGACGTACGTCCTCAGCTCCAGGTCTACACCAGCTTCCGACTCGTTCGATGGCTACCCACGCATCTTGAGGGATTCACGAGGGGGCCTTAAGTAAGGAGTGACTATTAGTCCGTTATATTCCTTACCCTACTAAAGAAGTAGGTCACCGCACCGCAGTAGCCTTCTATTCGGTAGTGCTTACCAAGAGAAGACAGCCTAGGGCTCCAGCTCGAAGGGCCGAATCTAACAGTACATAACCCTTAAGGAGAATTCACGGGTTTAGGGTCTCGCTCCTTACGAACAGACACTCCATTAGCTAACTAGGCTCATTGCCTACTAAAGCGGGTCGATCAGGATAGGGTAATATAAGTCACTACCGCAGCGGCCTCCTATTCGTTTACCCTTTTGTAGGAAGACTCCCCTACGGACGCCGCCTATAGCTAAGCTCGGGGCGGGCCGCAGGGGAATATATTCTAGAGGCTATTTAAGAGTTACTCTTTCTCCACCTCCTCGACCTTTAAAACGTACAACCTTCCCACGCACGTTTAACAATCTTATTCTACGTTTATATTAGCCACAATACCTTATTATCTTATAAGTATCTGTGTACCTTTATAACCGTATATTTTCAGCTCATCTATTCGATTTACTAACAGGTTAAATACTACGAAGGCGTTCCGCCCGAAAACGTTAACCAGTACGTCTTCTAATCCAGCAGATCCTAAAATTATAAACTAATTATCTATTTTCTAGGATCAAAGAATTCGTTAGACGCAATAGAGGCGAGATTCTGGAGGACCTTAAAAGTTTGAATAGCTTTTCGTAGGTACAGAGTTTTTAGAGTATTACGTCTATATTACCGTACTAAGCTTACTATACTATTTATAGTACTAAAATCTCCGAAGACCTCGTGGCTCGTTTAAAATCCTACGAGGTTATAGAAGATATTAAGATCGATCTGCAGGCGGCGTATTAATCATTAATAGAAGATACACCGGCCTATCCTATACTAGAGATACTAGACGATATCGTATTATAAGAGAAAAAGCGCCTTATTCGATATCTAGGCCTCGAAACTACCCTAGATCGACAACCATCGGATATATCCTATACCTCGCCCTCCTTATTTTTCATCGAATCTACCCCGAATTCTATACGTAGCGCGAAATACCGACTTCCGGGTTATAATCGAATAATATAACCGGGTAGCCTACGCCTCGCTATATATCTAGGAATAGACTAGGGGTCCTAGGGAAGATATAATATATATATACAAACCCTTCTCCTTAGCTAGCTTCGCTAGACTTCTGACGCCGCTTAACTTTAGTATTATACTATATAGTTTACTTCGAGAAAATCGTCGATTTCTCCCGAGTCGAATTCCTTAACCGCCTTTAACCTCTAATAAGGAACACTTTTAAGTTCCGGGGCGTAAACGTTAGAGGAATTCTGGACAGTAACTATCTCGTTACTAGCGGAGTAGAGCGACTTATACTAGAGTAGAAAGTTACCTATAGGAAGTAGGCTAACAAGCGCGACGGCTTATATAACGAGGACAAAGATAGGCTTCCCGCAGATTTCGAGTCTCTGCTATACTAGGTAGGATTAGCTACTTATCGGGGATCCAAAGTCCCTAATAGTATAGATCGATTTAAGTATTATAACCTTATTACTACCCTAGCTCCGAATAAGAGCGATAGTCCGGATAATAAATCGGAGTAGAATTTATTTAATAAATACCTTAACTCCAGTATATAAGCGTTAGATAACCTATATAACTTAAGCTCTATACTCCGACACTAGTAGAATAACGTAGTAAGTTCGGCTTCGAGTATATATTATATATTCCGAGAAAGATAACTAATAGGGAGTTTTTTGTGAAAGTTCCTAGCTAGCGAGGAGGAAGCTAATTTAAACGAAGTCTAAATAAAAGTAAGGTATAGCTTAGGGGAGAAAGTAATTCGAGCGCTTAAGCGGTTATCGGGTATTCTAATACTAAATATACAGAGTTTATTACTAGTTAATTTATCTTCCGATTCCTACGAATCTGAATAAATATCCGGTAAAGTTTCTCTATCCTCCGCTTCCTTTCGATCCTTAATTTAACTCGCCGAACAAAGATTTAAAGACCTTCGCCGATATCCTTCGAATATTCTAAGCCCTCCCTAATTATCGCTTCGTTCGTATTCTTCTCCTAAACCTCTAATTTACTCCGACTACTCCTATATAAGGGCGGTACAACGTTACTCTCTAAATTCTAATAAAGAATAAGGAGAACCCCCTTATAAAGGATATCTAACGAGGAATTTGATATCTTAGCTATATAATCGCGTATAATATCGTCCGTGAATCTTCTATAATAAAGCATAACAGTCAAGCAGGAAGCTTAAGTATTAGCTAGTACTATACTAGCTAACCCCTCTCTACTTAAAAAGATTAATAAATTATTTACTTATAATATAGGAGAATATATTAATTTACTATAATTAGTCGTGATTAGAGATTAATCTAGCGGGAAAAGCTCCGTCTTAGAGGGCCTAACAAAATTAAAATTTCCTCGAAATAGTGGCTTATATACCCGATTTACGACGCAGATTATATTTCGGAGAGATCCGAGCTTAAAAATACAGAAAGTTACCGGCTCTATCATCTTAATAACCTATAACGATAGAAAGGAAAATACTAGTTAGAATATATCTAATATTAAGGTACTAAATAAGACAGAGTTTAAGAAAATGATAACTAAGATTAGTCTATTCGTCTAGACCTCGTAATAAATATAAAAACTAAGCTTACTAAAGATTTACGAAGCGATAGGCTTATTAACGTTAGTAGGAGAAAACCTCCCTACTTTTTCCTCTAATATTCTTCGGCTAGAGATTCATAGACCTTATAAAAATCATCTTAGTATAATTAATATTCTAGGAATTTTCAAAACTACAATACCTAGCTTAACTTCAAAGTTAGATATCACCCTTATAAGGGATATAGTACTTAACTATATACGAAATCCGCGATTAATAATACTCGCCGTTATACTAGCTAATATCGATATTACTACGTAAGAGATTATTGAAATATCTAGAGAGTTAGACCCGGATAGAATAAGAATCTTACGGATCCTTACAAAACTAGACCTTATCGATAAAGAAGCAGAGGATAAGATTATTAAACTTATCGAAGGAAAATAAGAGTCTCAAGAACTAGGCTAGGTAGTGGTTAGAAACCTTAGCCAGAGAGACCTTTAAGACCTATTAAAAAACCGCGACGTTAAAGAAGAGATCTTTCGTAGTTCACCTCCCTAGAATCGCCTCTCAAATGACAACTATAGTATCGAAGCCCTAAGAACACGATTATAAGCACTTTTAGCTTTAAACGTATAGCGGGAATTTCTATCAGTAAGTTTATCTGCTAGGACTATTATATAAATCTAATCTGTAAATGGATAATAGGTTCGTTCTGAAGTAGCGAAACGCCTTAAAGAATATAAACGGGCACTTAAAAGCCTAGGAGAAGAACGTAGGTCCCCTAAGTAATAAAGTAAGTTTTTACTCGAAATTATATCAAAATTTCAGCGTATTACTAAGAATACTCTTTATACTAACTACGGAGTATAAGATATATTTAACGAAGAGCCTAATTTACGATTAGTAACTAAAGTTACTAATCGCAATACCTAGTTCTCTGACGACTTTACTACTTACGGCCATATATACGGGTTTAAGACGTATAAGCATAACGACGACTCGGAAATTCAATCTACTATCCTGAAAACCTTACTAGTAAGTTCTGTCCGCGTTAATATTAGTAATATAGATAATAACGAGGAAAAAGAAGAACAAAAGGACCGAAAGTCTATCCCTAGCAGAAAGCTAAATAGTTACGACGATATACACGATATTCTACACGACTATATCTAAATTTAGGATTCTGTAGCGTAAGGAATCCTTCCTTGGATTGAAAGCCTCTACCGAGAGTCTCGTGGGTTTAAGTTAGGAACCTTTAATTCGTCTATACTTTTAAGCGTTCTGAAGAAACAATCTACGAAATAGCTATCTCTAGCCGACGGCTATATTTATAATATTATATCCATCGTTCACATATTTACAGCCAAGGCATTGAATATATCCTATGGAGATCAGAGACTAGATTAAAATATCCTCTCGTTTCTAATAGACGATCTCATCGAAAAATATCGGCAAGCCCTTTCTATAGCAGAGTCTCTACTCCGAATCGAAAGGGATAGAACGCTAATAACTCAAAATTATTATTTAAACAGCAATTTACAAAAATAGTTAGTTAATTACCTACTAATACATATAACGGGCTAATATTTATTCAGTCGTCAGGAGCGCATTACCTCCGAAGTCAAGGAATCATCGTTTAGTATGAAATATAATAACGGCTCAAGTAGAGATTATATTCGAGTTTCTGATCTTACTCGAATTTACCATATAAGTAACTTACAATAGACTATACAAGACATCCACGATATCTTGAAATTGTACTACAAAGTTACCCGAAAAAGGTTCATTAACAATATATATATATAAGTAGCGGATTACTATTTAGTTACCGGACCTACCGCGCCGATAAAATTATTCTCCCCTTTATAGGTCTACAACCTTTCTCGTGAATAACTAGAATAAATCGCCGGGGAGGAAGTAGCTATCCGAAGGAAGCGCCGCTAGTTACAAAAATAGGTAAAGGAGCTCGAGACTAGTAGAAAAATTCTACTCTAGCTTATAAAAGCAAATTGTATCTCCTTAAGTTACGTAAAGCGAATTTTCTTTCAGAGTAATCTTTATACGTTTAAGTTCTTTAAGCTAGCTAATAAGACTAGGAGACTATTAAGAACCGTTACTATATCTTATTTTCCGGGAAAACACGGAAAAGGCTAAACGTATAATTCTTTAAACCAGCCCTTAATACTACGGAGTTATGAAACTATATCCAGAAATTCTTCTTCCGAATCTAACAAATCTAGATATATATCTAGTATACTTTTCTTACCCTTAGCTTCCTTCGGATCCTTTAATTTAACTCGCCGAATAATACTTTCTAGAACTTCACCGATATCCCTTAAATATTATAAGTCCTCTCTGATCATCCCCTCCCTCGCGTTCTTTTCCTAAATATCTAATTCACTCCGCTTCTTTTGTATCTCCTTAAGTTATATAACTAATCTTTTCTCAAAGAGATCTTTATTACGCTTAAGCTCTTTAATCGCGGTTTATAGCTCCCTCCGAAGACTCTTAACCTTTTCTAATCGAGTCGAATCTTCTAAGACTTCTAAAAAAAGCTATACGTTCTTAATAAGTCGTTTAATACTAGCTATAGTTTTTCGAAGTCGATATATAGCGGAATATCGGAGTTCTCGAAGTAAGATAAGAAACTTATTAATAGGGGTTTTCAGATCGTTAAACGGCGGGGTAGAGTAGCGAGAGAGTATCTTAGTCTATTCCGTAAGTTCAACCGCCTCGGGATAGTCCTATTCGTTCGTTACTAGGAGATAGGGAAAATACTACTAAGCAAACTCGAAGTAACTCTCTTTAAGTAATTCTTATATAGTCGTTAAGACTAGATATTAATAACGATAGTAGATATAAACCGGATATAGCGAGGGAACGGCTATAATTATATCTATATCCTACTCTGGATAACCGGCAGGAATTAACTAATTATTACTAAATATCCGTTCGCTTCTAACTTCGGTATAAGAACTAATTACCGTATCTTTTAAAGCCTTACTATCAGATATCTCCCTTATAGTATTAGCTTCCTCTCTCGCAGCCTCTGCTTCTGAAGCCTCTCTCTCACTACTCTAGGTAGACAACACATCAAATAACTCCGGAAATCGAATCTTAGCCTTTAAGATCGAATCGAAAACCTAGCTCTCTAGAAGCTTTTTAGTAACGCTACTAGTACAATCGATATCATATTCTCGAAGAATATCGGTAAGGGTAAGTTCGTTTTATCTAATTAATCCTTTTACCGTCTTCAATCTTCTTACTTAAGAGTTAGAACCACAAAAGATACTCTAGCAGGCCAAATATATCAGCCTCTCATCTAGATCGCTTTATACTATCTTACAGCTTAATAATAGCCTTTAGATACCCGGATTTACCTCGGTTTTATATTACAAGCGTCCCAAGGGTCGATTCCGCATTTCAAAAAAGCATATACCAAGAATGATAAGGGTCTACAATTATTACCTATTAAATACGTTAGAACTCAGGAATATAGTTTCCCGAGCCCCAGAGGGAAGGTGAGAGGCACATTCCATCGATATAACTTTTAACATTCCACATCTATACGTCTTCTAATACCAGCGCAGCTTAATATCCGTGGCCGGAAGTACAAGAGATACAAGATTAAATTCGTATCAGTATACAAGATAATAATATAACAGAATCGGGTATCCGTATCCACCTTTACCTCCCAACAAAATATACATTACCCATAGCAATAATCTAGCCTAGCCCAATCTTCTCACTAGAACATACCTCGAATAAAAGACTTTCGAATTATTACCAAGACCGTCGGGAAAGTAAAAGACCAATATCCTTCCCTCCCTCAGCGCTTAACTCTCCCGGATTCGAGATACCTTCATTAATATCGAAGGCAGGAAAGCCCACACAAGTATTACTTTTAAGAAGTACGATTATTAGTTAAGGGCTTTAGTAGATAACTACCAAAGCATCTTCCGGCCGGGTCTAGGTCGCCTTCAAAACACTACATACCGCTATAAGCGGTCACGACTTACAGGCGATACTATCCGTGATCCTCGCGATTTTGATTTCTTACGGTCCTACCCTTCTCGGGTACATATTACTAACTAACCCTAGCACAGCCTCCTATATTCTACCTTTGTTATTATATCTTAATCCAGATCGGGAGAAATTAAGTTAAGCCAACTTATATAACTTAGAATAGCCCTCCGAATAAAGATTAATTTCCTTCAAGATAAAGCCCTCCATAGTTATTCGTCTTATTAGGCACAGGGCAAAGCCGATACCAAATTTTACGTTAAGTAGGGAGAGAGTTTCAGATTCACAGTAGCAATTCCATATTCATTAATTTAATTCCACTACTACCATTCTCTTTCCTTAACGTCAGGCGACAGTATTAGGGCGGGGGCGGAACACACAGTGCGTACATACACTTCATTATCAGCATCATTCAATAGATACTTTATTAGCTACGAACCCAGTAACTTACTAGCTATAGCCGCTATAAGCGACAGAGAAATAGCTCGTATATTATTCGTTGTATATTATATTAATATATATTATACTAGGATTCCTTATAATCCTGGCTATAACTAGCTTAGGCCTTCCTCGCCCTATCTAGTAAATACTAATCGCCCTAGCGAGGCGGTTTTACTACGAAGCTTTCCTAAATAATAAGGTTCGGATTAGGTATAAGGAAAGTCTCATAACTCGCATCGGTATTAAACCTATATATTATACCTTTACGTAGGAGCAGGTACCCTTTCGCTCCTAAACACGTTACTCGGAACCCAGCGTCTTACATATACAAGATAACTCAGCGTACCCTAAAGAGATCTAAGCTCCTACGGTCATAAGGCTTATTTCCGTATACGTATTAGTAAATTCACCGTTCGTCCACAAAACATCGAACGTCTATATATAGCTATATATACTTCTAGTATAGAAGAAATTATAAATAAATACTATCCCTATCGAGCTAATTCTACTAATATCAATCTACTCTCGTATATTATTATTCGTTATATTTTATTATATCTTTAACAACCACCGAGATATATAGGCCTATCGCTACCAAAGTTAAATATAAAGATATCTTAAAAAACAAAATTATTGAGCACTTCTACCAACTTACTTTAGATCCCGACTTCCAGAAAGCATCGGCGACTTATAGTCAGGTCAAAGAGTAATAGGAGCAAATCCGGGCTCGAGATAAAAAGCTAGCTAAATTACAGAAAGATATCAGAGCTTAAGCAGAGAAGGAATCGGTTATAATCGGTATATTATCTATAGTAAATCAAAATCTAACTATCCAAAAGGAAAATACAGAAAAAAAAATTGTTTCTCTTTAAAAAGAGGCTACAGAAAAAGATAAGTCTTTAGCTAAGATCTCTCGAAGGATTCAAGAACTTTAGCGCTAGCTATAAACGTAGCTATCGGAAAGATCTCAAGAGGAAAAGAAGATAAGCTTAATAATTATATAATATAATCTTAAAATAAGTTCCCTTTAGAGAAGACTTAAAGAAAGAGAGGCATCGATAGACAAAATAAAGGCTACTAATATAAAACTTACCGGCCTCCTTACTAATAAAAAAGCGAAAACTAATTACCTTAAATAAGATAAGAAGTCGCTTAATAAAGTAATACAAAAGGCTCGTAGTCGGCTTAAAAAGTTCGACGCCTTTATCTTCAAATATTACTAAATTAATAAGTAGTCAATATTAGTAGTTTCCCTAAGCTTAACATTATAGCTTATTAACTCTAAGTTTCAGAATAGATAGTTTTTCGGGTCTCTAGGGCTATACCGCGAGTGAAATCTGGACCGTCCTACGGCAGAATCTAAACGACGAGAATCTTATAGTAGGCTTATTCTAGGTCCTCGAATACTAAACTAAAACTAAAACTAACTTTCCTAGAAGAATAATAGACCCTAGAGGAAGTTCAGACTAGATACCGATACTACTCTCCGGGATAGAGCTATCTAAGGATACTTAGTACCCCTATATACTTCGAATTCTAACGCTACTAAGGGAATACGTCTTGCCGTAATATTAGGTATTCTATCGAGGCAAATTAATAAGGAAATTTTTTAACCGAGTTACTTTCCATCGGATACTAGCTATTTTAGGCTAAGCCTAAATAAGCTCGTGAAAAACGATAGCGAAAAAGAATACTTTTATCGCTCTGTTCTACTTTCTATTAACCGGGACGGGCAGGAAGCTAAACTTCGGTCTAGGGCTAAATCTATTATTTAAACTATATCCTACTATCTCTATAAGCTTCTCTTAACTACCTAGTATAGTAAGCTCAAAGAGAAGATAAAGAATATCGTTAATAGGGCAATCGAGGTCTAGCATCCTATCTAGAATTCTACAAAAAGATATAAGACAGAATTTAATCCTACCGATTAGGCCTATAATAAGGATTTTCTATTCTAGTTTCCGGTAGGTAGTAAAGATCTAATCGGGGCTAAGTATTATAACGATCACCTTCTTGTCATTTTCCCGGGATTGAATTGCTTAGAAAATAATACCTTTATTTTAACTTCCGTCGTTCCGCTCACGGGCTCGCAGAGATTATATATTATTACTAATTAAGAACTAAGGGAAGAAGTTCGAGGGCACGCTAGCCCCACGACTAAATAACCTAGTCGGAAAAGGCAGAACTCTGTTGCTAAAGCCTAATTATAGTTAAATAGTCGCAATTTTTTAGGGACGTACTCCTCCGGAGGCTCAGGTAATTAAGGAAACATAAGTCGCGTACTCGAGCCAAGATAGGATTTCAGCTATCTCCGGGGATATTTTATTAATATAGTAGCTATTTTTAGATTGAATTTACTAAGAACTTATGTTTACTTTCTCTTGCTTTATTTACTGACCTATATTTTACTTCTGTTTTGTATTATAATCTCATTCACTCTCCGGATATTAGCACTAAATTGTTAGTAGAGTGATAAAACATATTAGCTACCTTTTATTAATATAGAGTCGGATACCCTACTAGCTATCCATCTGTAATTCGCTCCCACGCGCTTCTCAGAGAGGATAAAACCCCCGCTAGATATTACCTATATAGTATTATTCACTCCCCAACTTCCTAACCCTTAGGCCATGTAAAAGCCACCTAGAACTAAGAAAAGACTCTTTATCGAACATGTTTAGACGGTATCTGAATAAAAACGTTTCTGAGAACACAGCACAGAACTCGAGGAAGAAGACCTTCGGTAGTCGAAGAGATACATGGAGAACCCGATATTCGACGGTCCTCTTGGCTCTTGATAATAGTACCCGCCAATTTACCAAAATTTCAATTTCCAGCATAACTGCGATAGTAGTTACAACTAGTTATAGCAACGCCAAATCCGGCCCTTTCAATTGCTATCATTGGGCGAATATCATGAAGCCATTTGCAAGAAAGTTGCCCAGATAATGATAATACACAACTCAACCTTGCTCGTGAGTACTTCCTATACAATGACGTAAAGCAAGCATGACGCACCTCAAGCACAGTCACCCATAATTTCCAGGCAGTGCCCATGATGGCAATAATCAGGAAGAAAAACACCATCGCGGAGACATAGTATAGTGTCGCACTCTTGCCCTGCCTTCGGTCATCTGCCCAACCCACCACCAGTACCACCAAGCCGCACCCACGTAGACTAGCAGTCCACCCAATTCTGGAAGCAAAACCATACATTTCAGCATGGCAAAGAAATATGTCTGCATAACTGTATTTAGGGTCGGGGCACGATTCGTCATTGGCTCGGCAGTTAGGATTCACCTGGCCCAATCGTTCGCGTAGGTCAGCACAAACAATGGGGAGCTTTTCTGAGTGAAAAAGGTTCCAGGTAAGTCTGGCGGCATTCCATCGTCTCACAGGTTCCATCGATGATTGACTGCCGATGCCGTCGTAGATCGGAGAGAGGATGGAATAATCACCAGTATACACAAACTCGCAGCAACGGCCAAAGACTGCCCCGTCAACTCTCGGTCCATTCCATCGACGAACAGGACTGTTGTGATACCAGGCCCTTGCTGCTCAGGAATGAAGCCGCAACATCGGAAATAATTCCTGCTCTGTGTATAGGGAGAACCAAGTTAGTTTTCAATCAACTTGGACTTCATGATGTATATATAACCTCATGTTTCCCTCAAGAAAACAATCAAGCTTCCTTTGCCAGACAACAAGGACAATACCAGACCCCATGAGGCTATGTGAAAATCAGCAGTAGGAACCCAGGACGAAGTGAGAAATTTGGATTGAACTATACCTGTGATATTCAAGGACCATTTCGGCAAAGGCAGAGTCCCTTCCACCGGTCTGAGGATGATAATTGTATTCTTGAAGGTCGTCAGAAGCCTGAAGGGAGCGGAAGCAGAAATAAACACTAGGATTGCTTACTGTTGTATAGTGGCGTTTACTTCTTGAGCGAGGGCTTCTGAAGGGAGAGGAGAGATAAAGCTAACTATCCGTTATGGCAGGTTGCGTTTATATTAACCTCATCAAGTGCTAGCTATCCTGGGCAGCTGGAGAAAGTGATTCGCATGGGCGGCTGCGGTACTGAGGCGCTAAGATGGAAAGGGACTGCGGCACTAAGCCTGACACGGATTGGTGCCTTGGCATCTTGCCCCACCCTGGCCTTCATCAGCAAAATAGTTCAACAAGAAAAATAGGGCCAGTTCTTTCCTTGCCGCAGCGCATCCTCTGGTGCGTGAGTACATTTGAAACATGTTGCCAATATCATAACCAATGATGTCATCTGGATAAACGAAGCCAACCATTTGAAAAAGGAGAACCATTTCTCTCCTCGCCGCAGAACGTCGCATAACTGCGCTACGGTTCGAAATAAGTATACATGGCTAGATCTTCCTCCTGCTGCTTCGACTGCTACTTCGGGACAGTTGAAACCGGTCGTATAAAAGTTAATCAGTCATCTAGTTATTTGATTTCAAGGATCTAACAAATTTTATCCACAAAGACTAACATCATTACTTAGAGAGTGCGCGCCATAGAGGCCCGGTCATAGTGGAGTGAGAATCATTAGCATGGCGCTGAAAGTGCATGACTTCTGCAAACTTTTTATCGCAAACATTATAAGTAATAATAGTACTTGATGCAAGGTTCTGTAGATGCTTTCGCTTGATATACTTCGAAACATCGCCATACGATAAGAATTGTTACACACGCTTTTTGAGGGCTAGGTTTTGCTATCCTATACAAATAAAGCAAAACAAGGGTCGATGGTCCTTTGTGACAGATCGAATAGTATTTTCGAGTGGGCTTTCCGATTTAGTGTAAACCTTAGTATTAACGCTTTTTAGCTTCTGATTATCGATATAACCGGGCTCGGCTATATAGCTTTAAACCTATTTATTTTTCGGTAAACGGTAAGTAATACCCTCTTTAAATTAATAGTAGGTAGTAATAGTATTAATAGCTTTAGTGCGTCGATATATTTCTTAGTCTAATATCGGCGATAGTAGAGTTAAAAGACGCTTAATTAAACGTTTCTGAAGCTCGGGTAGCTTATCCGTATATTATAGTTTTATTGTTACTATTTCGGCTAGTTTCGTCTCTGATAGCTACCGCTATACTTCTAATATAGGCTACTCTTGATTATATTTCTACTAAATCTGCGATAATAATATATTTCTAGCCTATTCCCTTATACTATTAAGCTCTTATTTTAGTTTTTAATAGCTTTCGTATTTCGGACTTCTCCGGTACCGTAAGAGTAGACGGCCTAGTTATTAGCGAAGTTTATCGTATCGCTAGATAAGGACAGAAATTTTAGGCTATTTATTAACGGAGGAGGACTAGGCGGTCGTTAATTCTTATAGGCGGTCGGGGTTAATAGTCCGGCTTATTCGATAAGCTATATATATGATATTATTATCTGGATCTAGGCCTCGGATAATAGTAGGAAGGTTCTTGTTAATCCGTCGGTCGAGGTAGTACTTTAGAAATATACGAGTATCGGCGTAGTGTATGATTAGGTTGCGAAGCGAGTTACTTATAGCTCCTAAAATATAGATAGTTAGTCCTTAAAGTTACACGATAAGGATTATATAGGAAGATAGTTACCGCTATTATCTAACGCCTTTCTAGTCCTATATCGAAGGCTATAAGAACGGGTAACTTATTAGAAGCTAGTAATAGAACTAATACTTTTAACCTAAGAAAGAAGTATTAAGTAAGGTAAATATTTATCGGCCGAAATACCGATTCCTTATAATATTCGCTCGGTCTACCGAAAAACCGGTACGTTATCTAGGGCTAGATTAAGTAGTAATAGAAGCTCGTTATAGCTATTCCGAATATATAATCGGGGAAGCTACCCTACGGATATTAGGACCTTATTACCTTTAACTCTCTTAAAGGTATAGTCTACAAAAAGTAATCCTAGTAAGAAGATATAGGGACTTAGAATAAGCGAAGGGTTAAAAATAATCTCCGGTAGGATATATATATTTCTATCTAGTAGTTAGCGGGCTATAGAAAGAAATATTAAAAAATTTCTAGATTAACGTACTTACTTATCCTTAGAGCTAAGAAATCCTTTTATATATTTAAATTTAAATTTAATTAGGATTCTATAAGGGCCGCCTTACGGATCTCGGAGTAGACTAACTCCGATATAGCGATACCTTAAGCTTAGTACTACCTAAGGGCGATTAGCTATAAGACTAGCTAATTATAGGAAAAGGTAAAGCTCGATACGATACCGACTATATCTAAATTTTTTCTTTATTATACTAATAGCTGTTTCTATAACTATAGTTAAATCTTCTATAAATATAGTAGACTTTTCGCGGCCTTTCTAAGATAGTTAATACTTTCGACCTAACTTACGGATTACCTACAATATCGATTAGAACTATCTATACTATAAAGAAGGAAGCTTTAGAGACTAAGAGGCGACTTTATTTCTTACCCGGCGTATCTGTCGATTTATCTTTTTTCTAATTTTTTCCGAAGTTACTCTTTCGAAAACGAGTCGAAAGACTTTCTAAAACGTCTCTAGTAAGCTTTTTCGTTTAATTCTAGGTAGCTATCTTCTATTTTTGCCCCGTCGTAAATTTAAGGCCTAGTCGAGAAATATATATAAGATAGTAATAGATAGCTTCCGGAATTCTTATTCGGGATCTTTGCGAAGGGATATATAAAACCTAATAGGGTTTAGATAAATAATAAAAAGAGGGAATAGCTTAATAGAGAAATAAGACGTACTGTTTCTAACGAGACTTAATCTGGTTAAGAAGGATAGTAGTACCTTTACTATAATCCTCCTTTGTATATATAGACTTATCAAACTCTGTAAGTTGCTATAGGTAATACTCGGGAGAATGTTTATTGTCTGCAAAAAGTTACGCAATATCACTAGTATCCGTAAGCGGATCCTCGTCGAAATTAGGCTCCGTCGGGTCGGTATCGTACTACTCGTCGCTACTGTCGTTGGAGCTATCTTCTCTAGTCCGTGGATTATCGTTATACGACTCTGACCTAGCCTGTCGTCGAGAGCGGGCCATATTGTGGTGAATAGGTAGAACTCTTTGACGTATAAGTAGAAGGAAATATTGGGTTGGGAGCCAGTGTGTATAATAATAAAGGTCGGGAAAGCAACGTCGATTTAAATAACCCTTCTCGGAAACCACATCTCATAGCCAGAATGAAAACGCTAGCAGGAGAGTAGACATAGGAACCAGTATTAGCTAATGTTTTGCCGCTCCCTAGAGGCCGCAGGCCGCAGCCTGCGGACGGACTGGTGTGGGTGGAGACGAAGATGCCAGGCGGCAGCCTCAGGGGATACTGGTCAAGGAGGAGAGAATGGGTGGGCGTGGCCGGATGTCGAGGTGCGTGGCGAGAAGTTTGGCAGATGGACGGCTTAAAACGGCCTCACTTGCGGCCATTTCTGGCAGTCTTTTTGCCGTCTACTAGTTTATTAGAGTATACTTAAAGGAACTAATAATTATAGGATTAAGTATAAATAAGTAGAAAAGAAGGATATTTCGGAGAGCTCTTAGAGATATTATAGTCTCTGCTATAAGTAAAGATAAGATTCCTATCTTCTAGTAGTTATCTAATATTAACTTTAAGCTTCTTCTTTCTTAGATACTATATCTCCTACTTCTTATAATTATTACTACTATACTAAGATAGATAGTATTAGATATACTTCTCTAGTACTAAACTATATTTATATAACTTATAAATATCTTTAGTATATATAGTATTTTAGGGAAGCTAAAAGTTTATATAACTATTTTACTACTTCGGAGCTATTCTAGATAGTTTATACTTTCGATCGAATTAGTTTAGTATTATATAAGTTATATAATAGTCGGTATAACTTATATAAGCTAGTAAGAAACTCGGGGCCTTTATAAAAGGATAATAATTTAATATTAATCTATCCTAGGTTCTTATAGGTATAATATAGGATATATAATTATTCTAGTAGTATCTATAAATCTATTAGGTAATCTTTAAAGGTACTTAAGAGTTAAATATCGCTAGAAGACTAATATATATTTCTATCTAGCTAGTTATAATATATACTAATCTCTTCTTTATAAATAAAGATCTAGTAGCTATTTTTATAGGTATAGCTACTACTTATTAGAAGGAGTATTTTTACGAAGGCCTAAAATATATATAGTCGGTAAGAAAAACGTAGTATTTCAATCGCGTAAATATAAGCTAACTTAGATAGTATTATTACTATTTCTACTATATAAAGATAAATAATTAGTACTATAATAAGGTATTAATTATAGGAACTCTAACTAAGTAGATTAATATATTACTAGATCTAGAGAAAGAAGATACTAGATTTATACTATAGTAAGTCGGTCTAGTAAATTTCGTAACTTATTTAAGGAATATAATAAATAATTATAGGATATTAGTAGCTAAGGCTATAGCTATATATAATTAGATATTAGAGTTTATAGAGGAGTTCTAAGAATAGTTTAGGGATATTTCGGTCTTAAGTCTTATATTTATTATTTAGTTTTTATTATATACTAGTTTAAGAAAAGTTTTAGAAGGACTTATAAACTATTTATTTAACTTAACTATATAGTATTAAGAATCTTAAGAGCTAGAGAGGAAAAAGAAGAGGAGGAAGCTATAGAGATATTCTAGGTTCTAGGGTAGTATATAGTACTCTAGTATAGTTATATATCTTTCTTCTACTATAGATTTCTTCTATAGAAGAAATCTAAGTCTATCTAATTAGTTTTCTTCTATAGAAGAAAACTAACTCTATAATACCTATATTCCTAGGTCTTCTATAGAAGAAATCTAGGTCTATAATATTTATATTCTTAATATTACCTCCTTCTTAAAAGGATCTAGCTCTCTAGATCTATAAGCTCTATTATTAGTAGTATCTATAATAAGTTATTTAATTAGATAGCTTATTATTATTCTTATATTCTCTATTAACTTCGTCCTTTAGTATAGCTTTAGCCTAATACTATAGTTATCTCGGTAGTCCTAGCTACTTAGGGTATTTCCTATAGAATTCTATTATTTTCTTTAGTATATTTTTAAAGTTCCTTACTAGATATTAGTTATTATTATATTTATAGTCTTTCTACTTAATTTAGTACTATAATTTTCGGTACTATAGCTATACTATAAGAATCTTCTTAACTTTCTATTCCTATTCCTCTTTAACGATCTTAACTAGTAGTTCTAGATCTAGTAGTTAATCTTATAATAGTTTAGACTTAGAAGCTTTTCGTAGCTTATCTAGTAAAAATACTAGATATACTTTTATCGAGCTTAGTAGCTTAACTTTATATATATTTCCTATCTCTTTAAGGATTTTAAATAGTCTATAAGCCTAGTAAGCTAACTTATAGCCGGGTTAAGAAGTTTTCTAATTTTTCGAAGTTATATAGACTATATTACTAGTACCGAAATCTTTAGGTCTTCGATATTAATTAGTATATTTCTTATAATATCCCTAAGCTATAGTTATCTACTACTAGACTTACTCCTAAATCTCTTTTAGGTTATTAGTATAGTCTTATATTACTTAAACTTCCTCTAAAGAGTCCTCCTAATAAAGTTAAGGTCGGATATATTACTATTAATTAAGCTTCTTAGGTATTTCCTAGTCGAATAATACTCTAGGTTTATATCCTCTTTCTATATAGGAGAGTAAGACTCTAGTAGTCTCTTATAGTAGTACTACTACTATAAAGTCTATTATTAAGAGATATTTAGACTAGTTATCTTAATAGTAATCTATAAAAGGCTATAGACGCTAAGCTATATACTAGTTCGTAATCTTGCTCTAGCTATTAGTTTACGGATAATATACTATTAATAACTTTTTCTTAATATTAAAGATTCTATAGAATTCTATCTAAAATTTAGATATAAACTATCCTCTATAGTTAGAAATAATCGAATTTAGTATTCTAGTCTAATAATAAATATAATCGATAAAGATTTATACGATTTTCTTTATATCTATATTCTTATAGTAAAGAATTAAGACTAGTTACTTAGTAAGTCGATTAACGAATACTACTACTATATTATAGCTATATTTATCTTTTAGGAATAAATAGTAGTCTATTATAATATACTACTATAGCTATTCTAGAATAGGAAGTAGTTTTAGCTCTCTAGATATCTTATTCTTCTATACTTTAGTATACTTATATAGTTAATAATTATTAATATATCTCTATATATCCTAATAGATCTCTAGCTAATAATATTATAAAGTAATTATCCGATAGGTTTTATCCTAGCTAGGATATATTATTAATAGCTAATAATAAATCTTATTAAGTAGTTATACTTATAAATTACTATTATCGGGGACTATAAGTCGAGTTTCTTTCTAGAGAAGGAGATCTTATCTTAATAACTACTTACTCGAGTTATCTCCTATCTCCTTTTAATACTATTCGAGACTAATATAGACTCTATTCGCTTAGAGGGTTTAATTAATAATATTACTTTAAGATATACTAACTAAAGAGATTATTAGATAGATCCCTTTCTTAAGTTTCTCTTTCGGAATTATAATCTATTCTATCTAGTTATTTATTTTCGGTATTCTTTCTTTCCTAAAGAGTATATTAGCTACTATATTACTCTTACTATTATAATATTTAATAATAAAGTAATACTATAATAATATCTTAGACTAATAAGCTTAATAAGTATTAAGCTTTTTACTAGTTATAAAATTCTATAAGGAATAATAATTAGTCTAAATCTTAAAGAATTAGGTTTATTATAGATCTTCTAATTCGGCTTACTACTCTTTAAGTATTTTAATAATAGCTAATATTTCCTTATTATATATATCGTATTTTTATTAATCTTACTCTATAGTTTTTAAAAAGAAAGCTACTAGATACTATATCCTATCTACTTCCTAAGATAGTACTATACCTAAATATCTATTAGAGATATCTATCTCTAATTATATTAGTATATTTAGATTATAATAAGATAATACTAGTATAGAGCTTAGGCTTATCTTTAATACTTTAAAGATAGATTAGTAGTTATAACTCTATATAAAAGATATTTCCTTTATTATAAGATAGTAGAGTAGTTTTACGATATAACTATAATTCCTAATAAATCTCTAGTAGAAATTATATATACCTAAGAAGGACTATACTTCTCTAATAGTCTTAGGAGATATTTATACCTTAATTATATCTACTTTTACTAGGTTAACTCTGATTTCTTATATACTAATAATAAAGCTAAGGAATTTAGTCTTTTATATATAGAACTTATATTTATATAAGATAGCTTATAGTCTAGCTTCTCGGAGTTATTATAGTATCTTTTTAATATATATCTAATATTATTATAAATTATCTAACTCGGTATAGATTAAGATATTATCTATAAAAGCTATATAAAAATCATTAAGATAATCGCCTAATATATAGTTAATATAGCGCTAGAATATAGCCGGTCTATTTATTAGTCTAAAAGATAAAACCTTATATTTATATAATCTATATCTTAACTTAAAGATCGTAAGATCTTCCGAATCCGGATATATATAAATCTAGTAGAATTCTTATTAAATATTAAGTTTTATAAACTATTTAGCCTTACTAATCTACTAGAGTAATTTATCGATTAAAGATAAGAGATATCGGTCTTTCTTTATTAAGATATTTAGTTTATAATAGTTAATATAGAATCTTAGTCCTCTATCTAGCTTAACTACTATTAAGATTAGTAATATATATAGTACTAAAGAGGATATAATAAAGTCTTTTATAAGATTTTATAGTATATATTACTTTATAAAGTATAGCTCTTCTTCGGTTATTTTATAAAGCAGATAGTTAAGCTACTTAAAGGAATTATTTTTAAGCTCGATTTAGTAGTCCGGTATTCCTTTTAATAGTAATAATATACCCGAAGTAATCTTAGAGAATATATTAATAAATTTATAATACTCCTTCGGTATAATTTTCTTAATATCTAGTTCTTTAGAAGTAATCGTATTAGTTACTTTAGAGTT